AATACAGCTATATTAAATGCAACTTAGGCTTTGGAGTTCTTTCGGTTTTTACTACGTATAACCTTCCTTTCTCTACATCCTTTCTTCTTGTGTGCTAAAAAATTTTTATGCCTCAGGTCACAGCAATATGTCATTGAACAGTCATTTCCCTGGAAAGAACAGAATTGGTCTTGAAATATCTCCAAGTATAAGCCCTTTTATTTGCCTTGAACCTTTTTCTTTAGTCTGATTTGTGTTTTCCAGTCAGCCTTTCTGTTTTGTATCTGCATTGTGTTTGTACGTTTTAAGAAAATGAAAATGATGGATTTCAGTAACAAGATGCCGAATTCTAGTAAATAGCCTTTTCTTTGTTTTATTAGGATGGACAAGGTTACCTGGAGGACTTGGTTAAAGATATTGTACATTGGCTTAACTCTTCATCTGGAATGAAACCTGAGCGTAGTCTTCAGAATAATGGGTTACTGAATACCCTTAGCCAGCACTACTTCTTATTTTTTGGTACTCTTTCTTGTCATCCTCATGGAGTGAAAATGCTTGAAAAATGCAATGTATTTCAGTGGTGAGTGTTTTATTCTGTTTAAACTGTGCTTATGGGTATAATGAAAATTATAACCTGCATGAGCACCATCATCTGTAAAGCTGAAAAATAAAGATCCCCAGTGGGGGGTGGGGATTCATTGGTTTGTTTTTTGTGTGTGTTTTTGTTTGTTTGTTTGTTTGTTTGTTGGGGGGGTGTTAGGGGTTTTGTTTCGGGGTGGGTTTTTTTTTTTGGGGGGGGGGGGAGAGTGCTCGTTTGTTTGGGTTTTGTTAAGAAGTCTTAGGCAGCCATTACAGATAGATTTTGTGAATCTGTCACGAAATTCCACATCTATCTGACAGAAATCAGTATCAAGAAGGATGATACTATACTGAAAAGATGGGGGGAGGAGGGGAGACAAAACCAAACAAACCAGCAAAACCCACACACCACTAAAAACTGGCAGGTATCATATTCTTTGTGAAATGCCATGATGCATGTTGTACCTCAAATTCAGACTAATATCTTTGAGTGAAGCTGTGGAGTTAAAATTTTGTTCAGGTCCAAATAAACTGAGGTCTATTGATGATTTTTTACTAGTGTAAGAAAACTTCGTTTACAGTAAAATCTAGACAGTTAATAGCACTAACCTCATGACAAGCTAGAATAGTGGAGAATGTTTTACAATGAGGAATTGCTCATAGAGCTTTATGAGCACTATTTTTCATGCTCAAAGTCACGAATTAAAAAATGCTAACAAAATTATTACTGAGCAGTTATAAAAAAATGTTCATTTGGGGGGTTTCCCATTTGCAGTTCAGTGCATTATCTGGTCCTCGTTTGACTCTCACAGATGGAACAGAGTTAACTTCATTTCATTGAGAACTTACTTTGTATTATGCATAGAAATTAAAGTTTAATTCAAAGTACTTAATTTTAAATTCATGATTGAAATAAATCAGTTTGAGTGGGTTCAAATACTAATTTTTTATTTTTTTTAATTCTCTCCATTTCCGCCTCCTCTCCCCCCAGTCTTCTTAATCTTTGTTCTCTGAAGAACCAGGATCACTTGTTAAAACTGACTGTTTCTAGTTTGGATTACAGCAGAGATGGGCTAGCAAGAGTCATCCTTTCTAAAATCCTGACAGCAGCTACTGATGTGAGTCTAATTCTACTTATGTGCCAGTGTTATTTGCCACTAGATGTTTATTTTGCCATTCAAGATGTATGACTTTATTTTTAAGCTGTTATATATCAAAGAAGGTTTTTATTTTTTGTGTTCAGAGAAATGAAACTCCTGCTCATGCAGCTTTTCAGTTTGCTCTGAACTTGACACCATACACTGTATTTGTGCTTAAGGAATTCAGCCGTTCAAACGGGGATTCAGAGCCCATTGTATGTATAAACCTGGGATTATTTTTTCACCTTAGCTCATTGTTTCAGATATATTTGCAGTAAATTTTACTTCCCATTTTATTGTCACATCAGAGTCATGAGTTTCTCTTTTCTTCCTCCAAACAGAAAATAATAATTGTTTTAATTCTGTGCTAGCTATTTTGATTAATTCCTGTTCAGGAATTATGTTACAAGAAATGAATATTGTGGTCTTTTGTTCTCTGTATCATACTTGCATAGTTGCAGTAGTAACAAAGATTCTTTCTAGACAGATGTTAACACTTGAACTATGTAACACTGAATTCTGCTTTTATATTACTGTATTATTCTGTAAGCTTAACTTACCAAATGATCATTTCAGCATAATAGCTGTTGTTCTTTTCTTTTAATAATTACGCTGCTAGTTGTCTATTCCAAGTACAAGGTGTACCACTAATGGAATGCAAGCCATTTCAACGTGGTTATGCAGCCTAGGTCAGAGTTGCAAATGACTGTTCCACAGTCTTTCTTGATACATGTGGTATGTTATTCCTGTCTCTCTTCCAAAAAATAAGCCTCTGTATATTGAATATGTGGAAATGTGCACGTGATATTTGAGTTGAAATAATGAGACAAAAGTTTTGGAAATTAGCTATGCACATTACATATTCCGCTCTCATTTTCTTTCAAGTGTCCAACCTGTACCAGTTCACCTGTCTCTTGCAGTATAAGTACTCACATGCATCCCAGCATAGATCAATTATATTTTAACAAGTAAGGAATTACTTGGGTTATCTGTCATAGCCTTAAAGGTGTAGGAACTGAAGATAAGATTTGGACATCTGATGTTGTTTTCTACCAGCTATGTTTGTCTCAGCATAGATGGCACCTTTCTTAGGAAACATACATTGTGAGGCTTGTTCTGTGTCTACTCGAGAACACTGCAAATTCTTGTCAATTAAGCCTATTTGTGTGTATTTTTTTGTATTTTTTCTAACAGAAAATGATGTTGATCAGTTCATGCTGTTTATTCAGTAAGTTTTGAACAGCAATACAGGAACTGTTCTGCTGTCACTTGGAGAAATTCCTACTAGTAAACCAAGTGCTGTGGAACTGTCTTACTACAGAAAGCAACACTTTCTGTTTAGAAGGTTTTTTGAAGCGTTTTGAAGATCAGATGCTTTTAGGAAAAAAATTAAAACATCCCCAGACATTCTTGTATTTGCTTGTTAGTGTTTTTGCAAAACATTGTGTAAATGAAAGAGTATACAATTGAACTGACCATTTATAGGGTATTTTTCCTGCTAGTTCTGATTACTTCATGTGTTGGTGTCACAGTGAATGACTAATTGATAAGGAATTTCTGAGGAGACTTGCAGGGAACAGATTACTTGTGATCTCAGACTCTAATTTCACATTTGTTAAGACAGAAACAGCTCTCTGAGGGACTGTAATTTCACTACAGGTGTGCATCATAGCTACTTGCTGTAAAATGCAGTCATTGAAATGTATTTTAAAAACTGATAAATCATTAATTACATTAGCTGTTTTTCTTCTGTTAAAGGAAGCATTTTCCCTACTTTTGCAGAGCTGCAGGTTGTATGCCACGAAACACTTACGAGTGTTACTGAGAGCGAATGTAGAGTTCTTCAGCAACTGGGGGATTGAGTTACTGGTGACCCAGTTACATGATAAAAATAAAACTATTTCTTCTGAGGCACTTGATATTCTAGATGAGGCATGTGAAGACAAGGTGAGAATCTTTGCAACCTCTTTTTGGTACAGTACCCCATAAGCTGTTCCCCACCCCTTTCCTCAAAGTAAAGTATGCAAGAAGCTACTGATGGTTTACTTTCTTGATTGTCATTGATGGACTTCATAATAGTTTGTAGAACTATTGCTGAAAATGCTTGAACTATGTATGCTTGAAAATGTAGAACTATGGCTGAAAATCCTTGCTGAAAATGCTGCAGTATTAATGACAAGAAAATACAGATTTCTGGATTATGCCTAATTTAAAATACAAATTCAGGCTATTTCAGCTGTTTTGATACGTATTTAATGACAAAAGGTGCGCTACCTGAAGTAGATAGTATAAGGAGGAGGTTGGAGCTATTTGATACTTCCTTTTGTAAAAAGCATCTTGCTGCTTTGCTGGCAGATCACTGTAATTGTAGTTTTCAGAATTATGTAATGCTCTGATACTCCTTATGCATTTTTAATCATTTTAGGCCAACCTTCATGCCCTTATCCAAATGAAACCAGCTCTTTCTCATCTTGGAGACAAGGGTTTGCTTCTACTTCTAAGGTAAATGTTGACTATGCTCTTTGAGTTTACGTTGTGGAAACAAGTAAGTCTTTTTTATTAAAATTATGTGATTTTACTGAAGTGTTAACTGTCTGATGTTACTTTGCAGATTTCTGTCCATCCCAAAGGGGTTTTCATACCTAAATGAAAGAGGTTATGTAACAAAACAAATGGAAAAGTGGCAAAAGGTAATGCTAAGGATAAAAAGTGTGCTTGATAATAGGAGGAATAGTGTGAATATTCAGGTTAAGGTCAGAGATTCTTTAAAATACGGTATTGCTAATGCCCATATATTTATTGCCTCAGTGACTTAATGATTTTGCTGATGAAGGTTGACAGGGACTTAAAGTTCCAAAGCTCCTTTGGACATGCGTGCTTTTAATTTATCCAGGCCTTTTATATAATTTGGATATTTCAGCAAAAATTTTCAGGAAGAAATATTTCAGGAGTTTAGCGGCTTTCTAAATGACTGTTGTGTTAAGGTCTTAACCTAGAGAAGTATGTAAAGAAATACTACTCTTCAGGATACCTGCTATCTCTGGTTATTGCTAAAGTTAAATCTAGAGCTCATGAAGATAGAGTTAGCTTATGCTGTTAGGAAGTGAATAAGAAAAATGTATCATTGCCATTAATAGAATAAAATTCTGCATGCATTTTTTTGTTTTCATAGTTGACTATAAGTGCTTGGTCTCATTCCTGCTGGCAATTTTTTTTTTACTAGTTTTTAAGCTGGCACTTTTGTAGAAATACTGAAGTGCATGATAGTCTGCTGGGATTCTTCAGGTTCAAGTCAGATGTGACGTATTACCTTCTTTACTTAGTTTTTTAACAAATTGACAAAAATAGTCATGGTATGAATTGGGAACTCTGCAAACTCATTGTATGTATGAAGATCAGTAATTTGGATGAGCCCCACCTTCAGATCATAGAAAAATTCAGCCTTCCTTAAGGAGGACTTCAATTATGCCTTCCTCATAAGTTACCATACTGTAAAAAGCATAAGCCACTAAATGTATTGCATCAGCCCCTGTCTTCTTTTAGGAATATAACTTAAAGTATGTTGAATTGATCGAAGAACAGCTAAATGAAGCACTTACAACATACCGCAAACCTGTTGATGGTGATAACTATGTTCGTAGGAGCAACCAAAGGTAAATTTTGAAAAATGTGTCTTCGGGCATAAGCTGGTGGGACTGACTGAGAGAGCTTTAAACTGGGTGGATAGGGTATAGCAAGAGGGTTGCAGTAGGTAAGCCAGGGGTTGATATAGCATTGCTTGAGGATGGGAAAGCCTATTGGGAACATTTACACTGCTCCTGGGAGCACTGATAGCTCAGGTGCATATCTGACATGCTTGTACACCAATGCATGCTGTATGAGAAACAAATAGGATGAACTGGAAGTGTTGGTCAGCTTGCAGAGCTGTGATACCATAGGTCTTAGCGAGACTGTAGTTGGAGTCCTGGGGTGGAGGGCTACAGGCTGTTCAGGAAGGACAGGCAGGGCAGGCAGGGTGGAGGTGTTGCCCTGTGTGTAAGGGAAAGGTTTGAGTGTACAGTGCTTAGAGTTACTGATGTGTTTGAGAGCATCTAGGTGAGGATTAGGGGGATGGAAAACAAAGGAGGTATTGTAGTGGGTGTCTACTACTGATTGTTCAGCCAGGATGGTAGCGCTGTTGAGTTACTCCATAGGCATTTAGGAGAAATTTCTGATAGTGATTTGTGGAGCTTAAGAGGGAAAAGAAATTGTGTTATCTCTTTAAGTGAGGTCAGGCTTCACAGGAAAATTATAGGGTTGTGATTCATGTATTCAGGGAGAAGACATGAAGGGCCAAACTCAACTAGAATTAAAATTTGGCCAGTATTGTGTCAGACAAGAAGGGGTTTAAATACGTTAATAGAAAGAGGAGGTCTAAATAAAACATTGTATCAGTACTTGTTGAAAATGGTCACCAGATAAATAGGGATGAAATAAAAGTGGAGGCATTCAATGCTTTTTTGCCTCAATCTGTAATAACATTGACTGATCTTGGGCCTCCCCGAGGATCACAAGTATGGGAACAGCCACTTTCCATTTGTGCACACTGAAACTGTAAGGGACCAGCTGCATCAGCTGAATGTGCACATTATCAATAGGATCTAGCAGATGTTATGGCAGGACCCTTCTTGATCATCTATCAAAGATCTTGGGAGTTGGGGTAGATCCCTGCTGACTGAAGGCTAGCTTGTGTTACTCCAATTTACAAGAAGGGCATAACGGAAGACTCAGGAAACTACAGACCTGTTACTCTAACCTCAGTTGCTGGAAGAATTATGAAGATCACGCTAGGTAATTTTGAAAGGCATTTAAAGAACAAGGCAATTGTCAGACAGTCAGCACAGGTTCACAAAGGGAGATTAATTTGATATTCTTGTATAAGGTCATCCACCTAGTGGATGAAGGGAAAGCCAGTAGATGTAGTTTTTCTGTATTTTAGTAAAGCTTTTTATATTGCCTCTCACAGCATTCTGCTGAACAAATTGTCTGGCTATGGGAGGAGTGGGTTCACAGTGTGCTGGTCAAAGAACTGGCTGAAAGCCAGAGCTTAAATTGTTATAGTAAATAGGGCTACATCTGACTTGTGGCCGGTCACCAGCTGTGCTTCTCAGGGCTCAACTCTAGGGGCAGTTCAGTGATGTGGATGCAGGAGTCAAATGCAGTCCATTATCAAGTTTGCTGAAGATACCAGATGTGGAAGTGCTGTTCACTTTCTTAAAGAACAGGAAGCTTTGCAGGGGGGATCTAGATAGATTGAAGCTTTGGACAGCCGTTAATAGGGTGAAATCTAGCAAATCCTAAAGATTCTGCACCTAGGACTGAGTAATGCAAGGCACAAGAATAGACTGGAAGAGGAGTGACCGAAGAGCGACCCTGAAGGAAGGGATCTGGGGGTTCTGTCCAGCAGCAGGCTCTGTGTGAGTCAGAAGTGTTCCCCAAGAGGACAGGCTGTCCTGGAGTGCATCAGACACAGCATCAACAGGTGGTCAGCAGAGGTGATTCTGCTGCTCTGTTTAGCATTGGTGCAGCCTTACTTGGAGCACTGTGGGCAGCGCTGGCACCCACCATTTAAGAAGGATGTGGAGGTCCTTGAATGTGTCCAGAGGTGGCAACAGTGCTGGTGGCAGGGCTGGAAGGAAATGTCCTGTAAGTAGTGGCAGAGGCCTCTGGTCTTGCCTGTTTTGGAGGGAAGGAGGCTGAGGGGTGACCTCCTTGATCTCTTACAGCTTCCTGAGGAGGGGAAGTGGAGAGGGAGGTGCTGAGCCCTGCTCCCTGGTATCCAGTGACAGGACACATGGGAGTGGTTCAGATCTGCACCAAGAGAGGTTTGAACTGCACATAAGGAGGGGTTTTTTTATCAAGAGGGTTGTCAAACTCCAGAAACAGGCTTCCTAAAGAGGTGGTCCATGCCCCAGTCCTGTTGGTGTTTAAGAGGCATTTGGACAATGCCCTTAAGAACAGGCTTTAACTTTTGGTCAGCCCTGAAGCAGGGCTGAAGCTGAAGTTGTTCTGAAGTTAAGCAAGACGATCATTGTAGATCCCTTCCAACTGAAATATTCTGTTTTATTATTTTCTGAATTCTCCAAAAGAATCTTTTTGGTCTCAAAAAGCTCAAGAGTGACTCATTGCATTACGCTGCAGTGTAATTTATTTTAAAATAAAATGTCAGAATTTCTAGAAAAGCATCTGATTTCTTTCTTCCAGATTACAGCGACCGCACGTCTACCTGCCAGTTCACCTTTATGGCCAACTGGTGCACCATAAAACAGGCTGCCATTTATTGGAGTCTCAGGTGGGGATAACAACTGTTTATAACATTAATGACTTTAAAGAGTACTGTAACCTATTTAGAATGTTTTAAAAAAGATGTCATTTAGACAGTAATTGTAAAATAATTTGATTAAGAATGTCTTAAGTTATGTGGGGCCAAAAAGTTGTGAAGACAGTCTTTGACATCTAGTCTCATATAGAATTTCTCCCTGAAACTGAAATACCAGGGAAATATCTTGCAACATTGTCCTTAAAATGGCTAGCAAAATCTTAGAATAAATGCATTTTCAGGCTGTGTGTGAGTGAATTGTATTCTAACAAGTAAAACTGTGTCTATCCTTTTACGCATACAAAAATGAGAATCAATGTAACTCTGACAGGCTGAGATAAGAACAGTCCAGTCACTAAGGTATAACACAAAACCACTACAGCTACCACCAATAATAATAATGATAAGGGAAATAACAAGGGGAGAGACTACAACAGCTCACCACCCACCAACCGATACCCACCCCGACCCAAGCAGAGATCTAGCCCTTCCAGGTAACCACCCCCAGCTTATATACCGGGCATGACGTGCTGTGGTATGGAATACCCCTTTAGCTAGTTTGGGTCAGGTGTCCTGTCTCTGCTTCCTCTAAGCTTCCCCTCCTCCCTGGTAGAGCATGAGACTCAGAAAGTCCTTGGTCAGAGTAAAGATTACTGAGAAACAACTAAAAACATCGGTGTTACCAGTGCTGTTCCCAGGCTGAAAGTCAAAAAACACAGCACTGCACCAGCTACTAAGAAGGAGAAAAACGACCGCTACTGCTGAACCCAGGGAATCTGCATTAAGTTAATTTAGTTTTTATAAAGATAACAGATTAAGCAATCAGTGGTGACATTAAAATTTTCTACTTGCATTACCCTTACTGTCAGTTTATGCTTATTATTCCAGAACTGTGCATTTTAGGGTGCATACGTTAGTGCTTTACCTTTTATTAAAAATGCAAGACAACCTGTTTGATTTAGGTCTTGCTTTCATTTTCAACTGATTTTTTTTTCTTCTGTTTTTTCTCCTTCAGAGTATTGTTACAGATCTGAGTTACACTGTTCGTTCCCCAATGCTGGATAAGTGGGAAGGAATTAAGCAGCTGAAAGCAGCCCTTTGGGCTTTGGTTAGTAACAGATTTACAAACTTCTTGGAATTGTTTGAGTTTTGTCATGACTCTTGATTCTGAAATAACTAGCAAAATCCCATAAAATCATTAATTAGAGCTTTTGTCATAAAATGTGTGAATTTTTTTTTTTTTCCCTGAGTTGGTGCTCTCTGTAGCCTGACTGAACTTATAGTTGAAAATGGTTTACTGCACCTTTTTTTCTGGTTTTCAGTGTTCACTTTTTTTGTTTGGTTGGTTGGGGGTTTTTTTTCCCTTTTTAACAAGTAAAAAAGATGTAGCACAGTAGTAGTATGGAGCAGTAGTTCCAAGTTGCTGTGGTCTGATTTTAATGTATGTACTGTGGTGGTCCAAAATTCAGTGTTTCTGAAAGAGTTGGCTGCCACTGATGCATGTGAATATATACGGCCCTGACACTCTTGATGCTTGGGACAGGCAAAAACCTATTGTCTGTGTCTATCCAAGCTACACTTCTAAATTTGCTTTGCGATGTCAACTGTTCATCTGCATCTTTCCTGTCTTCTCCAAAGTTTATTTTGGAACATTTTGTCAGCGTGGCTGTTAGTGAAAAATATTGTGGGTATGTAATAAAATGTCAGTGTAAGTGGGATGTAAAATGAGTAAACCAAGATCATACTGCTGGTTAGAGTAGAATTGGTAAAATGAGGAATACATAGTAGTCAATAGTGTGATGATCTCTGTTTTGGATTTGAAGGACTAGGAAATGCCAAAAATGTTGCTCAGATCACTAATTGCTTTAAGAAGATAGAGCTTGAAACTATACTATCGACAAAGAAAAATGCCAAAAGCTTTGTACTGGTAGTACTGCAGATCATGTCAAAATCAAACCTTACTTGACAAACTTTATTCCAGGGCAATATTGGATCATCAAATTGGGGTCTTAACTTGCTTCAAGAGGAGAATGTAATTCCTGATATAATGGCGCTTGCCCAACATTGTGAAGTTCTCTCTGTTAGAGGGTATGTGTATCTTGGTTTATACATAAAATTTTCAGATGGCAATTGCCATAGGTTTTCAAATAGTCCCACCTAATTTATATTAATATAGTTTTGTACTTACTTGGAAATAAGATATTGATCATTGAACATTGGTAACAGAGTATCAGTTGTGAAGTTCTATAGAATCATAGAATCATAGAATAGTTAGGGTTGGAAAGGACCTCAAGATCATCAAGCTCCAACCCCCTGCCATGGGCAGGGACACCTCGCTCTAAACCATATTACCCAAGGCCTCATCCAGCCTGGCCTTGAACACTGCCAGGGATGAAGCATTCACAACCTCCCTGGACAACCTATTCCAGTGCCTCACCACCCTAACAGGAAAGAATTTCCTCCTTATATCCAATCTAAACTTCTCCTGTTTAAGTTTTAACCCATTACCCCTTGTCCTGTCACTACAGTCCCTAATGAAGAGTCCATCCCCAGCATCCCTATAGGCCCCCTTCAGATACTGGAAGGCTGCTATGAGGTCTCCACGCAGCCTTCTCTTCTCCAGGCCTGAAAGAACATGCAGTAAACAAATGAAACTCATGAAAAAATGTATTACTTTAAAAAAAATTAAATATTCCTTGTATCTCTGTAGGAATCACTTTATTATTCCAGCATTTTTATTCAATAACTTTTTTGTATCTTTAAAAGGATGAATAGATGGTATTTTGCCTAATACTGCTGCTGCATTAGTGTTTGTCCTTTGTTTAAAAAATAAAAATAGATACTTCTACTTCATGTAATCAGGCTCTTGTAATAATGAATTTTTATTTTTAAATAATGAATTGTTCTCAGATATTTTAACGTATTTCTTAAGCTTCAATTGAATTACAAACAAAAATGAACAAAAAGCTACTTGGCACTTTTGTGAAGTTTCTGCGGAATTGTTGTGAAACTGTTTCCTTTCAAAGAGAACAAGTTTAGTTAAATTAGATACTATTATTGTTGCTTTTTTTTTTTTTCCCCTCCTGTGTATACATTAAATACAGAACCTGTGTCTACGTGCTTGGTCTAATAGCAAAAACTAAACAAGGATGTGACATTTTGAAGCATCACAACTGGGATGCAGTGAGACACAGTCGTAGACAGCCTTGGCCAGTGGTCCCTGATGATATGGAGCAGCTCTGCAATGAACTTTCTTCTATACCCAGCACTCTTAGCTTGAACTCTGAGTCCACCAGTTCTAGGCACAACAGTGAAAGCGAATCTGCCCCTTCGAGTAAGTAACAACAAAACAAACAAACAAACAAAAAAAAACCCACCAGAAAACAGCATTTTGGTGTTCTTACCAACACTTTGGCATGGTGAAATTCAGGCAAATAGTACCAAATTGTTATTGCAAGGAGAATGCAAGCAAGGGGAGGGAATTTTATGTCATTCAGAGAGATGTACGCGAGTGAGCAGGGAGTCTCAGGTTTACATTTGATATAGAAGTAAGAAATTCTAACATAGGCTAAGTTACTAGCTTTTATGTCCAGTCATGACATCTTACTGCAATAGTCTGCAGAAATCTCCATGCTTTTGTAAAAAGTTTACTTGATTGTCCTCAAAGGAATATTCTAGAGTATAAATGCATACATTCTCTGTGTGTATGCATACACACAGAATATTAGTGTGTTTAAACTCTTGTATATTTTGAGTATCTAATGCAATTTAATTTTGCTGTGGATATTTAGAATTTAAACCATATTTAGATATCATGAAAGAAGTACATTGACTGTAATCCTAGTAGCTGTATATTTGCACTGAAATAAGGTACTGTGGCTTTCCTTTTGAAGCAGGGAGATCTTCAGCTCAAGTACTCCTCAACATGTGTGCTTTACACTGAGTTAACAAAATGTTAAATTAAAATTGCAGTAAGTCAATCTCCCACTGTAGGTTTTGTAGAATTGCTTACTTTTTTGCAGCATAGTGGCAAAGACATGTCCACTTCCAGTGACAAAGTCTCATATAATTTCAGGTATGTTCATCATGGAGGATGACCGTTTTGGTAGTACTTCCACTAGCACATTCTTCCTAGATATTACTGAAGATGCAGAACAAATATTTTATGACAGACCTGGACCTTCAAAGGACAAAGACCGTAGTCCCTTTCCTTTTTTTTCTTCTAGTAGGCTTGTGAAAAACCGCATTCTAAACTCTCTTACTCTCCCTAATAAAAAACACAGAAGTAGCAGTGATCCAAAAGCAGGAAAGCTGGCATCATCTGACAGTAAATCAGTCCTGAGGCGAAATCGTACAGTAACAGAACCTTCTGGTAGCATAGAGTTTCCTGCTGGGGAAGAATTAAACCCTGTTTTCAGAGTTCCTAAAATACAGACTTTACGATTAGAAACTTCTTTTGTTGGAAGTAAGCATATGGAAGATACTGATAGTACCCCAAGTATTGGAGAAAATGATCTGAAGCTGCCAAAAGGTCTTGGAAATGAAATTCACCGTGAAAACACAAGCAGAGAAAAGCTAATAGGAGACGGTACTACACAAACACATTTCAAGAGTCGTAGCTTAAGTTTTAATACAGATACCACAACAAGTGGCATAAGTTCAATGAGCTCTAGCCCTTCAAGAGAGACTGTAGGTGTGGACACTACAAATGTAGATACTGACTGTGGAAGTTTGAGTACTGTGGTAAGCACAAAAACAGTTAAACCAAGTCTCTGTTCAACACCACAGTCTAACCACCTGCCTCTCTCAAAGTCCAACTCTGTATCTCTGGTGCCACCAGGCTCTTCTCATACACTTCCTCGAAGAGCCCAGTCTCTTAAAGCTCCATCTCTTGCTACAATAAAAAGTCTTGCTGACTATAATTTTAGCTACACAAGTTCTCGAGATGCCTTTGGCTATGCTACACTAAAACGCTTACAACAGCAGCGGATGCATCCTTCACTGTCTCACTCAGAAGCCCTGGCATCTCCAGCAAAGGACGTGCTGTTCACTGACACTATTACCATGAAGTCTGGCAGCCTAGATTCTCGGCTAACCCCAAGTCGGTAAGAGATTATAATGTGCTCCTTACTTCAGAGTTGTAAGGGCGATTAAATGGGAAAAGTATCTTTGGGAGTTGTTTTTTTTCCAACTTCACCTAAAAGTGACAGTTGTTGCAGGATGATTCATAACTTCACTGGAAGCAGTATCGATACTAGGAGAATAATAGACTGGGAATTCTCAACTCTGTAAGTGCCGTCAGAGAAGCCCAGCTTTCACAGCTGTGATCAGCCCTTTCAGTGCTGTTAATGGCAAAGTGCTTCCTTTTGTTAGATTGGCTTCCTGTTTAATTTTTTAATATCTAAATGCACTCACACTGCTAACATTACTGAAGTTGCAGTCACACAAAATAGCTTTGACTACACTGCATGAGCCGTATTGCAGGTGAGAATTCTCTCAGTGCCATTCGGTGAGGTTTTAGGACACGGCCTCCTGCCAGTATGCTGTATGAGTGTTCACTGTGACACTGAGGCGAGTGATGAGATACTGGTACCACTGACAGCAATGTCAGTTTGGCTTCTTAGCTACAAGAAAAACTTTACTCATGGTGTTTATTTTTAGATGGCAGTGTCACCTCTTTATTTTTGAGTAATATTAGATGTTCTGAAGACTAATAGGAGAGTTACATAAGCCACCTAGCTCATGACATTGACACTGTTCCCAGCAGCTGCAGTCAGCGCTTAACAGCTTTCTCTTTAAAACTCTTCTACCAGATTTGTCCTTTCAAATTATCTTTTAGCTAGTGCATTGGATTTTCACATTGCTGTTGAGAGGGAAAAGATACTTTATATCTCGGCTCTTAGCTAAACACCTTCTCAGGTGAGAGAAGGGGAAGAAGCTATCAGTACATGAGTCATCTGCTTACTGCACAGAACAGCAAATCCCTGAACTGCACTTGTCATATCCACCTGAGTGTATATAAGTGACTGTTTATTGCTATGCATTTTTGTCCTGGTTAAGAGCAACATTCCTTTGTTTTCACATGATTCTGCATAGATGTCATAAAAGATAAGTAATTTTCCCTTGGGTCAAATAGAACTAGACTGAGTGTGCTGATTAAATTAAGGATGATTCAGTAGTTAAGCTGCATTATCCTGGAAATCAGAAGTGCATTTTCTTGCTTTTGTCACTGGCTTCCAGTGCTAATGCGGGAACAAATTGGTGTCATTTCAGTAGTAGTACAGGTTCTGTTGTGGCTGTAGTAATGCTGTACCATTCCTTGCAGTCATGCCTTTGATATGCAAAGCAGTCTTCCTGCAGTGGGCTTTCATCCTGAGACTGCATGCAATCTAATGTTAACAGTATTCCTGGTGTTCAGCTGTTCATGGTCTCTTATCATTGGGTAGGCTCAGGGATTTGAGCTGACCAGTTTTAACATTGAACTGAAACAGCTGGCGTGTTCATATCTCAGAGAAGAAAAAATTGCAGAGATGCATATTACAGGAGATTGTCCAGTTGTGTTGGCAACTTAGATAATTGATTGGCAAGACTATGATACAGCTAGTACCTGTGTTACATGTGCTGGTTACAGCTGCATGTCTGCAGTGAATAATTGTGGTTCTTTTAATTTCAGAGTATATTACTAGTTCCAGCTAAATGTTGTCCCTCTCTACTGTTAAAGTAATAAATTCGAAGGAAATATTATTTCCTTTTTCTCTGCTAAGCATATATTTGTGTCAGTCTTCAGAAAAATTTCTGTGATTCATACTTCGTTGAGAAAATTATGTGTCATAGCAGGTAGCGGCTGTAAATTCTTTTTTTTATTATGTTTCTAGTTGTTCTTTGCATTATTTATTTTGTGAGGCTAAATTTCCCACCTTTGTCTTTAAAGACCATCTAAAATTTTGATGTGTGCATCATGAATCCTGATTGTGGCTCTCACCATCTGCTGACATGCTTTCATAAAAATTTACCAGTGTTTATCGCCACTAATGACACATCTGTTAACTTTTCCAAGAAAAGCAAGGACAAATTTTAGGATTAATGCTTCTATCTTTAGTTTTATGCTAAGAGTAATTGTAGAATGTTTTATTATGAAATAATTAATGTAATTGGTAATTTTAGGGGTAATTTTAGTATCATAGACCCTTAAGATCCTCAAGTCCAACCATAAATCTAATACTGCCAAGTCCATTGCTAAACAATGTCCCTAAGTAAACATCTACATGACATTTAAATACCTCCAGGGGTGGTGACTCCACCACTTCCCTGGGCAGCCTGTTCCAATGCTTAAAACAGCCCTTTCTATGGATAATTTTTTCCTTATGCCTAATCGAAGCCTTCCTTGCTCCAACTTGAAGCCATTTCCTCCTGTCCTTTTGAAGCATGGCTTGATTTTCATAGTAAGTCCACTTCTTCTGTCATTAGCATTGGTCAGAATTGCTTAGTAGCGAGAAAGCTATTGGTATCCTATAACTTGTGTTCTGTGCATTCTAATTGCATAATCTCTTGAACATTACAGGGTCAAACCTTGATAATGTAATGTTTATCTTGGTATGAATCAGTTAACCTCCTAGGGGTAAGAATACATTTTAATTGCCCATCTAAGCCAAAAGATAATAGAAAATTATTTCTAAAGAAGATTAAAGCGGAAAGTCGAGAAATCAAATGCTTACTGTACTTTTATCTCCCAGTGTATAATAATTTAAAGTAAAATAATTAAAATTTACTGTTCTTGAGGTGTATCTCTTTACTAGGAAGCTTTAACCCAGTGGATATAGACCATCTACATAGGTTGATTGGAAGAAACCATTTACTGGTTTTATCTTTAACAAGAAGTGAAATGACAAGATTCCCCAATGAGAAATTTCCATCATCAGGACTCTGATCAGCACTGAGGACTCCAGCCTCCTCTCTCCCATCCTGTTTTCCTAACCTATTTCTTTCTTTGTTCCTTCTCACAGTCAGCTCTGCTCACTGTGCAGGTTCAGGTTTGTCCTTTGCACATTCACCTTGAGCCAGTTCTTCCTCCATGCTTGGGTGACCTAATGGGTGGCAGCTTTGAGTACAGGAAAAAAGTTCCTTGCTTCCATTGCTGGTTCTGTAGCAAGCTCAAACTTTGCATTTGCAGGATGTGCCTGCTCAGCTTGGAGTTTCTGAGTATCTGGGGGAGATAGACTCAGTGTATAGGTACATTTCAGAATATGGCAGTTAGCAGTTTCAATATTTACAGTGTCTGGGCTGTAAATCTTTGAAGCCTAGGAAGTTGGAGAAGATTTATGGTTTTGCAGGGTTGGCATCCCCTCAAGCAAAAGTTACATCCTGCTATTTTGCAAGTCCTTGTCCTAGGACTTTAGAAGAAAAAGTACTTATACAAGGAACTGGCAAACTATACAATACAGTACAAGACAGAAAAAAGCAATGAGCCTGTAGTTGTAATTTGTCAAAGGAACAAGCTCTGGGTTCTGCAATGGGAAGGTGAGAATAGTCATTGTGTCAGCAGTCTTTCTAACTTTCACTGTGCCAGAATGAGAAATGTATTGGATTGTGAGTTGTTATTTCAATGTTGCAGGTTCATGAAAGCTTTAAGTTATGCTTCATTAGATAAAGAAGATCTGTTAAGTCCTATTAACCAAAACACACTTCAGCGTTCCTCTTCCGTTCGCTCGATGGTTTCTAATGCTACGTATGGTAGCTCTGATGATTACATTGGCCTTGCTCTCCCAGTGGATATCAATGAAATATTTCAGGTATGTATGTGATAATTTACTGGAGTTATTTGCACTTTCATACTGAAAGGTAGCCAACTGTTGCATTTTCATCAGAATAGATTAGATCTAGAGAAACAGGGAAAAATGGACGTGGCACTTCCAAGGAATGCATTTTGGAGAACAAGAGTTTCTAACCCAGTTTACAGAAAATTGTTTGCTTTGTATTGGGCAAATAACACAGACAGGGTTGGAGAGTGTTAAACAATGGTAGCATAAAGAATGTCATAAGATCTTTAGTTTACATCAGCTTTTGTACTAAAATCCACATAGTCTGTGGACATTTGTTAGCACCTCTTTAGCCAACTAACTGAAACATTCATTGGTCAATGGTGATATGCATTATCCCAAGTAAACTTCCTGCTACCATGACGATATTAGTTTGATGTGTACATATGTAGTCATAGCAGTAAATTATATTGTCTTTACTTAACCTGATGTATATATATGCATATATTTAGGTTAAAACAGATTATTTTAAATGTCTTAACAGTTGTCACCTTTCTGCATGCTTAAAACGCATTCCCGTCTCAAACTGGTGCATCATAGGGTTTAATACACTATTGCTTAATTATCAAAAGCAGAGTGTTGTCTATGTCAGAGGTAAATCAGTGGGCTCCCTTGTCTTTAGTTTACTTAGTCTTTGTCTTTCGAATCCAAGTAGTTTCTTAGTAACCTCAAAATTTAGTAAAACTAGAGCAAAGTCAAGATTATCCATCATACCTGCTTGTATTCTCCTTTGATGAAATAACTACTTTTTCTTTCTCCTTCACTGTCTTTTTGGCATATTTACATTGCATTATTTCTTCTCTCTCAAGTCTTTTTGCAGAGTTATGTCTTGACAATGCTACATCTTATTGGCAACATTTTAGATGTCCTGTGTGGTTTTGCACTGCTCTCCTTGTATCTCCAGTGGTGTAGAGTGATCATGGACAGATCATTAGTATCCACTCCTGGGTCACAGGTTTCCTTGCAGCCTGTCACCACTGTTTTAACATTTACTGGCTATTTGTAAGCCTTGCTTAATAAATGTTCATTCATGAATGTATGTTTTTCTCATTGGCTTTCCTTTAGTACTCATGAGCCCATTCTTAATTTCTCTAATTAGATCTTTTTCCTGAAGTAAGAAATGCACAAGACTTTATTTTGTCATAAAATCTGTTCTTCCTTTATGTATGGCTATCATCTATGCTAATTTTAATTTTCACTTGAATATCCCAGGTAAAGGAAACTCCGTATTTCCAGAAGAAAACCACACCTCCATTTGATGATCATGGGACTAAGGTCTTTGCACCTGATGCAGGAGGTACTGCTTTTTTTCCTTTGCTGTACCTTTCTGTTGTGTATTTTATACGATAGCTGTTGTTTTACCTCCTAGTTAACTGGAACTGTACTACAAGCACTTTGAACACACACATAGACATGCGTTACTGACTTTTTTTTTCCCTGTGTGTTGTTGATGCAATATATAAAGCTGATTTTCCAGAAAACGTGTTTCTGTAGCTTGCTAAATTTCAAAATTATTCAGAGTTATGTTTGTTGATATTTCCATTTTGGAAAGAGCATGTTACTGAAGTGTCTTCATGGTTGAGTCTAGTTTCTTCCTACTACAGGCACTAAGTTACAGGATTGTTTGTGTTCCTGTGCTCCTTGGTATATGTGTTGTTTAAACGTTAGGATATTGTTTGACACTGTGAAAATTGGTAATGTATTAGTGTTACATGGGTATTACTAATGCTGACATAATTCAGAACTTACGACACATCATCTTACAGTAAATATGTACAGTATGTGTTTTTGCAGGTTGAATTACATCCTTTGCCATGGTTCCTTACCTGTGATAAACTGAGATTAAAATGTGGTACCTGTTTCCCAAATACTAACAGTCTTGGGAGCTTAACCACTCAAAAGTTTTTAATCTTCACACACACATGCCCTCTCCAGGCTTAAAAGGGGAAATTTAATTGAAATAATGGTTGCTGGGGTTTGGTTTTTTTTCTGATGTCTTATTGCTTACCTACAGGTCTTCCATCAGGTACAAGTGATGTTGTCAAAAGCCCTTTTCAGATGCTCCGACAGCAGATCAGTCTCACAGAAATAATGAATACCAGCCGTTCAGATGCCTCCCAGTTTTTAGAAGGTACAGAGGATACAGGGCTGCAGGAGCACACAGATGAGAACTGCCTTTACTGTGTCTGTGTTCAAATACTGGGTTATCAGCCTAGCAGTAAAGTGAACTCTTCATATGGTCGTACAGGTTAGTGTTCCTTGTGGGGAAATGTGGTAAAACTGAGGGAAAATAGTGAATTTTGTTCATGTTGAAAATGTATTAATCTGTGAGGGTTTCTTTTTCTTACTGACTATTGCCCTGGAAATTAATACTCCATAGTAAGCTCACTGTGCAACCTGTGGTATTACTACGGTCGTTTCCAGCTTCTTGATTTCTAGTAGTGTTGGTATCACTGGGTGCCTGCATGATTTTTTTTTTCAATATTTCTAACAGCTTATCAAGATACAAAATCTGAAACCTTATTTATTATTTAAACTTCGTGTCCTGGAAACTGGCCCTTGCTGTCCAGCTTATGAAAAGTCTGACTTCAGAGAAAGTCTGTACCTAAAACAAAAATAAAGGAAATCTAAGGAGTCTTTTGAAGTTAAGCTGTAATTTCTGGGATTTAGTCATCTTCCTTTATATTTGGAGATTCAGATCAGATTCAGTATATTTTTTCCTAACCTCCTCTGCAGAGCTTGAAGTTATGTGACTATTTGGAATCTCTAATAGAAACATAATCCAGTAATGGATACCTAGTAGGAATAATTACGGTTTTACAATAGTGTTGCACATGAGCTACTAGCACATAAAGAGTACTGTCGACAAAGGGGACAATGTGAGGAATGGCCCAGGGAGCAGAATCTGAGCTTGAGTTCAATATCAAGAAAGGATAGCAAATAAAATCCCAGCTGTAGTCTTCAAGTAGTAAAGGGATTAGAGGTATGGCAGAGCCAGGCTCTTGTCAGGCATGCAGCCAAAGGGCAGGAGAGCATGAACGTGTGCTGTAGGAGTAGAAATTCCAGTTGAACATACGGAGAAGGAACCTCTTTGCAGTGTAACATAACCTCATTTTGAGGTGAGCAAGACCTTCAACTGTCAGCCGCCTTTGAGCAAGAGGTTGAACTAGGTGATCTGCAGGAGTCCCTTCAGACCTATGTTTTCCTGTGGTTGCTAACTGTGCAGCAGTTAGAAGTTTGGATATTATATTTATCTCTTTAAATCAAAAATACCAAAGGCTGTGGATAGTGAAACCTCCAGAAGAATCTTACTTATCACATCTTTCTGTTGATGAAGTCAGCTTTCTGCAACACCTGCGTTAATTGTATGGACAGAAAAAATTATGCATATGCAAAAGCATCTTTATTATGTTACATAAAATAGAGCACAGATATGTCAATAAGAGCTCTATGTGTAGTGACACTTTTTAGGCTCCTGTTGGTGTCTAAAAAAGCTTATTGGTTTTGACTATTTTGAGATTCAAAACTAGTGATTTTTAGATATTTTGAGTATGATTTGTCTGAAATCAGCGTGTAGTTTCCAGATGGCTTATATGTACAGTACTTTGTGTGTCAGTGTCTTGAACGCTTATCATTGTTGGAAAATAAGAAAAGCATTTGAAGTGAGGAAAACTGTGAATAACAAAGATACAACATCATGTTTATGTCAGATTTTTCAGACATTCCATATACTGACTGGTGTGGGCAGACCATACACAATCACTTAGATGTGCATTCCTCCAAATTTTCTGGAATTTCAGGCTGTAGTGATGCAGTATCCCATGGTTCAGCTAGCAGCACCAAGAGTACAGAACTTATGCTAGGTAAGTTTGGAAGCTTTTTTGTTTATTAAAGACTAACTCTAAAAGTATTTTTTAGGTATTGCTTTTGCTATACAACATTTCTGCAGGTTATTAAATTAAATAGCTCTGAATTTTTGTAAAGAGAAAGACATTCCTCTCACGCTGATGTTTTATGTTTTGAATTATTGTAATTTCTTAGGAAGTAGCTGCTTGCTGACTTCTGCAGCATCTGATAGAAACAGAGCAGATAATCACTCACCCAGTTTGCAGCACGGTTTAGTGGTAGAGACAGCACTGTAATTGAATCCTACAGGCTTTTCCATTTATGAAATGGTAGTTTACCTTATTAAAATCTTTCTATCTTAATTCCTGAAAATAGATTTTTTAAAGTTTTACATTCAAAGTAAATTTATTAAAAGTATTTATTAAGTATTTATTAAAAGTTCAGAATACATATGTAAGTGCATATGTATGTGTTTATGGAATCCTAAAACTGACTTACTTGGCATAAGGTCATCACAAAGTTTATTCTGTTTAAACTCCGTCCTGTTTAATTTTTTTTTCAGGAGTAAAATCAATCCCGGATGATACACCAGTGTGCAGAATACTTCTGCGGAAGGAAGTCTTACGTTTAGTCATCAATTTGAGTAGTTCAGTAGGAACTAAGGGCCATGAAACTGGACTGCTGACGTAAGTTCAATAAACTTCAGATGTTTTAGCAATTTGTTGCATGTATGCTCTCAATGTTAATCACTACCCCAGAGATCTTATTTCTTACTCCTCAAAAAATTGTAAGCAGGTATGATTGAATATAACATAAAGGCCAAACAAAGAATTGTTCTTTTAGTGTTTTTGCTCTCTTTGATTTCTTACTCTTCCCCAGTCTTTCTAAAATCAGTAGTTCAACTATAGTGATATTCCTTTACATAAACAGTGTATCACATTTTAAAAAAACCAACAAAAAACAACTAAAAACCCAAACCAAGTAAACCAGTAATCCTTTTTGTTGTTTTGCAAAAAAAAAAAGTAGATAAAGGGAAAAACAAAGTGAAAGTAACTTCTTGAGAAACACAAACTTGCTTCAAGCAAGAATGCAACTACTGAAATCAATTTATTGGAGGGGGGGGAGGAGAAGGTGTTAAAATACTGGAATATAATTCCAGGTTCCTGGGATAGTGACATGGGAAATTTGCATATGACTGCTACAAGAAAATGAAGAAACGCTCATTTTAGTTTTAACAATGCTTACAGGTAGTTAAGTTAGCTTTTTCAGATTTCTTTTATTACTGCTGTATATGTGAGTGCCAGCTCTTTAATAGACTGTTCTTTTTCTACGTCTGTTACTTTAAGGGTGGGTGATTCCCAGGTGTACAGCAGTTCTCTACAACTTTAAAAATTGTATATTCTGTTTAATCTCACTAATACAACACTCTTGCAGTTTTGTACAAAGTTCTTGCTTTCATCAGACCTGGAATTTATAATGCCTAGTAATTTATAATTTATAATGCCTAGTAATGAAGAGTTCTACTTTAATGAAGACAATCAAAAATCTAATTGAATGTCTTTTGTTTTGTTTTTTTTTTTCTTTAAATATGATGGAAACCTGTTTGAGATTTAACAAAGCTTTGTTTTTCTGTGTGTGGGGTTTTTTGTTTGGTTTTTTTTTTTTTTTTTTTTTTGGTTTTGTTTGGTTTGGTTTTGTTGGGTTTTTTTGTTTTGGTTTTGTTTGTTTTTTTCCAGAATTAAGGAGAAGTATCCCCAAGCATTTGATGACATATGCCTTTACTCTGAGGTATCCTACTTGTTAGCACATTGTACATTTCGGCTTCCATCTAGAAGGTTCATTCAGGAGCTGTTTCAAGATGTACAGTTCTTACAAGTAAGTGGAGTGTTCAGATGTGCTGAGTGCACCAAATTGCACCAGCTGTGTGCAGGTTTCATGTTGTGAATAAAGGATGCTTTCAGATATATCTTAAAGGAGCCCATTTTATGATATCTATTTAGCAAAAATCACTAACAACATGAATACTTCTGTCTTTTTCCCTTAGATGCATGAAGAAGCAGAGGCTATTTTAGCAACACCAACAAAGCCTCCAGTGATCGATACATCAGCTGAATCCTGACCTCTGTCTCATGCAGTGCATTGCATATAGACTTTCTGAAATCCTCAGACAGCCTCTGACTGACTGGATAAAAGGCTTCAAGTATCATCTGCTACACCATTCCAGAAGCTGCTGGTACCTGAAGAATGAACTGAAAACTTTCTTCCTCAACCAATTACTGTCCAAGTCTTTTGAGCCCTTTGGGGATTTATTAAACATTACCATAGTTTTAATAATAGTAATTATCAGTATATGCAAGAGCCAAGCACTGAACACCTCCACAATTTTTCATTTCATTGGAAAAAACAAACAAACAAATAGGACAACATGCAGAGACATCTTTTTTTGACTGACTTTCAATTCTGTTCCAGAGAAGTAGAATGATGCCTTGCTTTTTAAATGCTGGATACCAGGAATCAGAGAGAGATATGAGGGTGCGTTCCGTTGCCAGCAATGGGGATCTGTGCTGTAATCTTGGAGACTAGGGGATTAATGTTAGTGTTAGCCTTTCTCTGTTTGTTTTTTGTACTGTTTATAACACTACTTGGAGGTTTGTAACTTCAGACAAAAAGAAAAGCCTCAGTGACACTGAGGTTTCCTTTTAAGTTATTTTAATATTGCTATAGTTCTAAGTCATTTTATTAGCAGTCTCTCCAATTTCATGACATTTACATACATGTATCTTATCTGAACCAGTTAAGGACTTTCACTACAGTTTAATTTTTAAAAATAACAAATCATTTAAACTTAAAATGCTGAAATCAGATTGTTCTCCCTGAATGATATGCATGTGTTTGCAGTTTCTACATTCATGCTCATATAGTACGAATGTTGGTCTTACTCTTAACCAAAATCCTTTAAAAAGCATGATTTGTATCAGATAAATGAATATTGTATAAAGTAAACTTGAAGACATTTAATCATTGCTGCTTTTTGTGAGAAGACATAATATGAGTGTTTTCAAAGTTCCATGGAAACAGCCTTTTATAAAAACAAAGATTTATTTGGATTTTCAATGGATGAGTGATCGGGCATCAGACAGTACTAATAATTGTAGTGAAAAGCCTTACGTACCAAATTTTGGAGCAGCAGTAATTTTATACTGGTATTTAGGACTTGTTGCAAAAGTTAAATGAGACAGTGACTGTTGATGACTGAAATAGTTGCCTCAATCTTGTTGCTGGTGAGGTTTCTAAATTAATGAGTGCAAGTTGTAAAAAAAGAAGTAGGAATCCCTGTCAATTTTACACTTTTGTTATGGATCTAGAGATTCAGAAGCCTTTATACGAAGGTAATATAAATATATGCAAATGTGTATATACAGTAGCATGGCCACCTTTGTTAGAATGCCTGTAATAGAAGGGATTACCCTTTGATTTTGATATAGGAATAACTCAGCTGGACTGTACTAAGTAGAACGTATTTTTTCCATTCACTTTTACCATTTTTTATAATTGTCAGATTAATACTTAAGTGAAGATAAGTGGAATTTATCCTCATGCTCACAACTCTGTTCTTCCTAGCTATGCTACTGGAGATTTCAATAGATAGTCCTGTGAACAGTAAAACAAGACACATAAGCACTGCTTTGTAGCTATCACTTCACTGAGTTTTTGTGTGCACTGCATACCATCACATTCTGGTAAAGCAGATTGTAAATTGCTGCTTACAGTTAAATTTAATTCCTGAGATTATCTTTTCATGACTTCCCACTGAAAGAAGGAGCAAAAAGAAACTGATTTAACTCTTCTATGGTCAGTGACACAAATAGCACATCTGTGTGTCAAGGCATGTTTGAAATGCTCTGAAAATATCCGGTAACTATTGGACTTCTGCTCATAAGAAATAAATGCTTCTGTAAAACCAAAATGTCAATCACAGTAGACCAAATAGTGGTATAAACTCCAAAGGAAACAATGTAGTTTTCCCAAAAATGGGGCTAGCGTATCATATACCGTAGTTTCAAACACTACCTCAGTTAGGTTAGAGTATGAGAGATTTGTTTTAATAACTAAGTGGGGTTACATTGAACGACTCCATGTTATTTTTCTGCAGTTAAAGCAAAATAAACAAGTTTTATCACCTGGAATTAAAAAAAAAAAAAAAACACCTTTGTTCATTTGTTACCAGTTTAACCTGTAGCACTTAACATAGGAAGCACTATATAAAGGCCTCTGATTATAAAAAGGTAAGCAAAAGCAGTGTTAATATGCTTTTGAAAGACTCTCCATCCTGAAATGCTTACCTCTTCTGAAGTACTCGCTTGTGTGGGGATCCATGACAACAGAAACCTGACGTAAAAATTATGGCTGCAGATTCAGATGTAAAATGTGATTTATTTTTTCCCTGAAAATGTATGAGTGTCAGTAGATTTCAAGAAGTACACATAGAGGATGGGAAGTCTGTACTGTACATAATAGACAACATTTCCAGAATGAATTTACTTATTTACAGTAAGCTCGTGTTAGTGTTTCATTTTAATTGGCAAATGAAGGGATGCTATAATTGAAGGAATCTGATATTGGCCTAGTTATAAACTGTGAATTTCCAATTCTGTAGATTTTCATTTTAAGATATCCCTTTCAAAGTTGTTATGTTGGGGTTTTATTTGCTTCATGATAAAACTTAAGAAAATAGTAGTAAATAACAGTTGTGCTTATATTAACCCTGATTAATAGTCCTTCCACTTCTCTTGAAAAGGTTTGCAAGGGAAGCTGACAGACCACCTGCTTTGTTGTTTTTCCAAGCCAAACAATTGCTGATGTAAATGCTTGAATAAAGGGTGAAGTATATAACCTTCACTTGCACTATATACTAATACAGTTTGGTTGCTGTGGCAAAGGAAACTCCCAAATGATTAATTATGCTAACACAAAATGCTTTGCTCTGAGGTGAAAGACCTTTGTGGGAAGGAGAAGCTGGCTCTACTATGTTAGGGGGCTAGTTTTCTTCAGTCTGCTTTTACAGTCAGTGCAAGGAGAGAGCCCTTTCAAAGGCCAGACAGCTAACTAAAGGTCTCCCAGTTACTTCCCCAAGGGCCTTTCTCTCCATGAGTGGGAGTAGGGAGGAGGATGGAGCTGGGTGCTGCAGGTGCCCTTTTGGAGAGAGACTTCATCAGCTATCTGAAATTCAGAGATGCAGAGAGCTCCCAGCTCTCATGGGCATCACTTGGAGCTGGAGGAGACTTGAATGCTGGGCCCCTGGTATGATACGCTTGTAACAGTTGCTTTTCCTCATCTGGGTTTCTTTGACCTGACATAGGTACCCTAAATGTGCTCTCCTTGGATTTTGTTCTTGTTGGTTCACAAGACACAATGAAGTGCTAAACTGTTTGGTACTGTAAGAGCATAGTGGACTGGCACACTGAGGTGAGCTGCCCTTATAAACATTTGGAAAGGAAGCAGTGAGAATCCTGATTGTCTTTCTGTCATTTTATTTTGAAATGTATGTAGTGGTCTTGAAGAAGAGTTGTGATTGCAGTGAAACTGAAAAACCCTGTAGCACCTTTACTGTGTGCCTGGAGAGGTAGCTATTCAAGAAACAGGCAGTAATCAAAGCTTAGTGAGAGATGAAGCCAGCTGTTGCTCCTTCTTACCCTATGTCCCAGAGTTGGTATTTGGGTTTTTGGACTGCAGGAAGCTGGTGGTTACCTTCTAAGTGTGAGCTCAAGCTGAGCACTCCCAGTGGAAGAATTTTTGCCAGGCTTGGGAACATCTCTGAGATCTGTGCTCGCCCCCTGGCAGGGTTACGCACAAATCCTGTTACTCCGAGTTTCACTTGGAGCCACCTGAAAGCAGGTCCAGTAACTTCTTTTTTAAGCTACACTTCTATTACCATGTTCTTATTAAGGGTATACTAGGTAAGAGTAGAATCTGAGAACTATAAAAAGACCTTTGGGAACATGCTAGAAAACATGCTTGTATTTCACTAGAAACCTCCCACATCTTGGATTTTGCTTAACTCCCAGTTCTGGTTCCCTGGATCGTTTTGTTTTCAACAGATTTGTAAGTTCAGTAAAGAATGTGGGTATTCTTTTGACTTTTTTGTAATGTAAATGGACAACAATGCCACAGCATGCAGGAATTGCACATTTTGCTTGAGTTGCTTTGTAAAACACACTATTTTATTTGAGAAATCGTAATTTATGCCAAAAAGTGTAAGATACCATTTTGTCGCTGAATAGGATGTTCCAGCACGAGATGCAATGTCTAAGGGGGGAAAAGGCAGACACTTTGTAGATTTAACTGAAAAATTGTTCCAGTATTGGGCTGTCAGCATCCCTAAAACTGCATTACAAGAGATTGTCTAAATTAATCCTTCTGAGGAAAAAGGGGATCAAGGAATATCTCAAGACTTTATTCTCCCTACCCCGTGTGGTGTTTTCTTATTTAGTAATAAGCTGCTACATATTTGGGGTTCTAGTGTTTGTAGGTCACTGAACAGACATTGAAATCTGATTTATATTGTATACCTGTAACATAGAAAGAAAAAGTATTTATATATTTTCCGTAAGAATATTGCATTGAGCTGTGTATAATTTAAACAGAGGCTTGTCCCAAATGGTATTGCCCACTTTGATTTTTTTTTTTGTTGGTTTTTTTCCTTTTTTTTCCTTTTTTTCTGTTTTTTTTTTTTTCTCCTATAGTGTGCACAGTTCATGTCAATGGGCATTAAAAGCCTTCTGAAGCATAGTCTTATCAAAGGGATGCCTTGTTAATAAAATGTAATTAAACTTCATACAATTGTTCTGGTCTCATGTGTACCTCTCAGCACTAGAAATGGATTGGAATTCTACTTAAATTTTTAAGTTACCGGTTAACTAGAACAGTCTGAAGCTTTGCAAATAAACTTTTGTTAAAAATACATTTTCACATTAATGCATTCTAGGATGTCTTACAAAAACATAAGGGAACTAAATAGTTTATATACCATCTTTATTTTGAAAATAGCATACTGATACTGAGAGTAATTTTCCACTATGTGATGGTTTAAGTATTAGCATTTCAAATGCAGCTGTGAAAGCTGAATTATAAACAAAGAGAAAAACAAGTTAACAGTTTTGAATTCTTTAACCATTAATACAAGACAGATGTCTTAGAAGTTGTACATACCTCTCCACAAAACCAAAAACACGTTTCTAGTCTTTATTCCTCGTTCTTATGGCCAGGCTGTGCCCCTGGAAAGGTCACTGTGTCCTCCCTGGAATCCTGTGTGTGTGCTTTTGAGTGCAGGTGGTTTCACAATATGTCAGCCCTCAGGCGCAGCCAGCAGAAAGGTTTCTCATGGCCTCACCAGCCATCGGGGTGGTACCTGGCAACGTGTCCCCTGGCTTCCTGACAAAGCAGTTTCATCACTGCCAGATCTCTGTGGGAAGGATCTGGGGATTTGAGGTGGGGTGTCTCACCACCAGTAAGGAACAGCTTGTTCCATTAGCCCCTCCGCTTGCTCCCTGGATGGAATCACCACAGACAGTGTGTGTTTTTTCTCACACACTTCAAAAGCAGCGATGTGTGCTCTGATAGAGCTGTCCTGGAGTGAGGAGCTGCAGCATGTTGAAATTTAAAGGCTTTCCCGGGTAGTTTGACTTTTTGGAATGACTTGTGTATCAGAGTTCCCTTAGATGTGAGCTCTTGGTTTACGATACCTTTCAAACCTCTTTACATAAACAAACCTATTCTTGAAATGCACAGCTAGGCCGTTTTATTTCAGTAGAACAGCTCACTTCTGTTTATTGTCCTTTTCTCCTAGCAGTGAAGCTGTTAAACTGGGCAAGTATATAGGATAGGATGAAAAACTCTGGAGAAGAAAATGTGTCCTAAGCCACAAGGATACTGTGGTTCAAACTTTCAGATTCACTGTAACTCAATATGAGGGGAAAACTGGGATGTCTCCACTGAACAGCATCACTCTTCCTTCTCTGTTCTCTGTGCTGTTTCCTTACCTCACTACCTGATGGCTGAAAGGAAGGACCTTACTCTCTTCTACTTCTGAAGTAAATCTGCATAACCCACCTGTGGGCACAGCACAGTCTGCACTGACCAGATAGCAGCCACAGCTAGCCACTGGCCTGCCTACTTTCTTTGCACTGCTACCTGCCAGAGGACTTCTCCCTCTGCAGGCAACGCTTGTCTCACTCAATGTCCGTGTAAGATCTTGTGAGTTTTCCCAAACAACGCAGCTCAGGGACAGTACAACACCATCTGTAAGCAACACTTCAAATCCTAGACATGGTTCAGTGTTAACACTTGTTTCTCTCTGGTGCTGCTTTGTTTTTGTAAAGTTAAACATAGGAAAGATGAGGAACTGCACTTTGAAGATCACATCTAGACAAACACTTCATGTTTTCCCTTCTAGGAACTACTTGTCCTGTGCTTTAAAAGAATTCAACTTAATCTGAATCATGAAAGATTCTAGACAGTACCACAGTTAAGCAAAACCAATGAGTTCCATGTGTACTAGGGGAGGTTAATCTGCTAAGACACTTGGATCAATTCCAACTCTTCTGCTTCATTACAAAAGTACAAGTCTTTTTAACTCAAAATGGAAGACCAAATTCACTGTTGCCTACTGCAGAGATTCTGGTTAGTATAAAAATACTATCTTCAGTACATGCAAAAGTAGTGCTGGGAGATCCAGCCGAGAGCCTGAATATGACAATCTTCACAAATGGAATTCATATACCTATGCATGTGCCTGCTTACCTGGTTGGTTGGGGCTTGCTATGTAAGTGCAGGGGTTAATGATAAAAGAAGTTAAGTTCTTCTGCTCAAGCAGAGAAATACTGCCATGGTAACACCTCTGCAAACAGCTGTCCTGTTGATAACAGCTCCTTCCCACTCACCCCCCCCCCACATCTCCATTCAGTTATGAGGATTTTGCTTAGGATTTCGAAGGGTCATTCTTCCTGCAGAGAAGGCAGTCACCAGAAACAGAGCAGCAGCCCATTAGCAGGGCCTGACGTTGTTAAAACCCTGGACCCTATAAAAACCTGTTTTCTGTGTTCTTTCACCTACCAAGTGTAGTTAGAAGACAAGGGGAGTAAAAGCAAGATGGTCACTGTATTTTGGTGCACAGGGTAGCACTCCTAGAGAAGTCGAAGTTCCTTTTAATATTTCAGCAATGTGCCACACACCGAGTGCAGGTAAACCCTTCCATGCTGATTCCTTACATCACCTAAGAGAGGGAAAATACAACCCACACCCCCAGTGTTACTGGGCTGGAGCACACCCCAAAGCTGAGTAACACTCCATCACAGCTGCAACCCACACTTGCTGGGGTGGCCAAAGCACAGAGTAAGCACGCTGTAATTTACTTCACAAAGTAAAATAAATACAGTCTGTGAGCACTCTCACTTCTTTAACTTGTTCCTCTACTTTCTGAATACATTTTTAATCTCTGCAAAATATAGTATTTCTCTGTACCAGACCATGATGAACTGCTATGATCTAACTTTCTACATAATATAGGCCACAAAGCTGCCTGTAAAGCTTATATAATGCCTGTAATATGTGATGAAACCATAGCACACATCGTTCCTGTGCACAAGACAGTATTTTTAAACTAGTCCTGAAGTAAGAGCTTTTCAGCATTAACTGAAGTAGTGCAGTTGGGCTTGTGAAAGCCTTCATCCAAACAATGTGTGGGTTTGTAAGTTCTTATTTACACTGTGTAACCGAAAACTGGATGGACTCAAAGGAGGAGAGTACATCAAAGCTTCCTCCCTAGGCAGTGCACATCTGTTTGTGAAACGTATCTCAGGTTGGTCTTTCTGCCAGCTGTTTCTCTGGGTGTTGAGGCAACATCTTCCTTACAAACGTCGAAGTAGAGGTGTGGCTGGTACAGCATGACTGACAGTTCTGGCTTGCTTGCTTCTATTGTCTCTGGTAGTTGATAGGCATCAGATTCAACTGCGAGATGAGAAGAATAAGCAAAATTTTCAAACCAAGTATGAGTCTGAGGTGTAGGTGTGGGTGTAAAGTCTCTCTCTTCATTTTCATTAAGGTAAATGCGGGAAGAATTGTGATCATCAATCTTATAATCTGTTGTCATTGAAGACAACTGGCTCCAAGGATGTAACTTCTCGGCTTCAGCCTTACTGTCCACTGCTAGCACGTCAGGAATGCAGTCACTTATTTTCAATACTTTCTCAGAACCAATCTACAAGAGATCATAAAACAAAATAATTACTCAAAGTAATAAGCCCAAAGTAAAGGAAAGGGAACAATTACTTCAAGCACTTCTTCTACTGTCTTATAATTTTTTTGAGCTTGGATTTTTCAAACAAACACATGGAATTTGAAGGAAAACACATGTACAGAATACCAACAGAAGCTGTATTTTATGTGACATTTATCAAGAGTATTTATTTAGAGATATCTAAGCAAGTTCAGTATAACTACATTTCAAGAATGAACCATGTCCCTCTGCTTTAAAGCCTTTGCCAGGCTTTTGATGTGTGCACTTTTTACCCTGAAACCAGTAAGTGACAGGAAGGCAGCAGCAGCAGAGGTTAGGTGGTACAGTGTCCACCCTCTGGTGCTACTGCTCAGTGAACACCAGCAGCCAAAAAAGCAGCAGCCCCAGGCCTATCACGATGAAGAAGTATCCCCAGTTTTTGACTCCCCTGCATGGAAGGAGCAGACTCTGGTTCGAAGGGCCTGCAGAAGCAGCTGAATGCCTTTCACCACTCCTTTTCTCCCAGCCAGACCTGGCAGTGCCTGGCAGGTCTCTCTGCATCCTCACAGGGGCCACCAACAAGTATATCTCTGCAGTGCCCTCTGCTGCGATGTAGGAGGCAGGAGGATGGGGTAGACGGTTCCCAGGCTGCAGCAAAGTGCCATATCCTCCGGTCTGTTTTGTTTACACAGTGCTGGGTTTTGAACTGTAATACTGGATGAGTCACCTGCTGTATCAAAAGATTTAATTTATTCTCCAATTCCACTTTCACTTTTTGCAGTAACAGACTACAGAATACAGAATGATCAATGTGGAGTCAAATGAATATTGAAAGAAGAATTTTCCACTAAATGATGATATTATGTTGATTTCTGTATAGTAAGCATCACTCATTTTTAAATGTAGCCAACACCAGGAGAGTATTTTTCTGAAACTTCACTAATCAAAGAATGGAAAAATGAAAAATACTAGATTTTTAATGGCCTTACCTTAAACTCTTTGAATGACAGCACTTTGCTCTTGTTAGGACTAGGTATTACAGGACAGCAGCACTCTTTCACCCTGGAAATAAGAGAGTAAAACAAATGATAGGGTTTTTTTCTCTCTTCAAAGCATATTCTACCAGCAAAAGCCATGTGTAGATGGGCACAGGAACAGCAGCAGATGATGCGTGTCACAAACGCCGCAAGCCAAATACTTAAATCGTCCATTCACACAGTTGGACAGCCAAAGGAAAAATGAATGAGGCCTTACAACAGGCTGGAAACAAGAAGCTGCAGCTGTGGTTTGTGAATTACGCTAGTTACATTCTCTGTCAACAACAGAAAAATGCATTAAAACTTACCACTTCATCTTCCAGCGGCATATCGCTGCTACTAGTGCAGGAACTATCACTAACAGGACTAGGAGGTACAGCATGTTGGCTATGGAAGAAAAATACTTTTAAAATTTGTTTCCAACTTCTACCCTGTCAATACAGCCTGAGTTCCTAGGACAAAAACAATATTATGCCCACATGGGATAGCTGCCACTAACTCAGCTGTAAAACTTGTGTGTGTGGTCTCTGGTTGCAAGGTAGTTTGTCTGGAAGTTCTGGGACACAGCCCTAAGTCTTTGAACCTTGATTCCCTTTACCAAAATTGAATTAGTACTACTTTTTTAAGTGCTTTCAATTTGTTCTCATGTTGACACCTTAACTGTAAGGGTTAATTTCCAAAAGCTAAGACAACAATAACCTCACTTCACTTTAAGTATCATTCCAACCCCCAAAGAAGACAGATTTTACCACGAGACGCTGACAGAACATCCATACCTCTGGTATGGCTGGTTTATAGCAAGACAGACAAGTGTTCATGCTCCCCTAGGACTTGCACTGACACAAGAAACCCAATGTATCTCCTTCTTGTTGGAAGACACAGCCTTGGGCTGTGCTTTTCTCAGATAGCTGATGCTATAAGGAGGCAGAGGGGGAGCACTAGCTAGTGCTTGTGGTCCTGCCCCAGCCAGTGCCCTCTTGCCCTGTGCCAGTGAATCTGTGTGTCCTACCACACATCACAGCAGGGAACGGACGTGTGTTGCATTCTCCTTTTTTTTCCTGGTTAGCTAAGGGTTTTGATTCCCTGTGCAGTTGTATGTATGTCTATGTCTGCACAAGAGTAGGCTGGCTAATGGGAGCTAGACATAGGTCTAAGGCAGACAGTGTTCTGGTAGTTAGTTAGTCTAAAACACCAAGTCTCCTTGCCTGAGCCAAGGCTTCACCCTTTCCTACCTCTCCCCTTTCACTTCCACCCCCAACTAATTTTTCCGAACCAGGCATCTCTGGTTTGGATAGTAAGTTTCCCAATCACGACTGCTGAGTGGTACTTTCAGGGGAACAGAATTACAGGAAAGTGATATTCTGTTCTTCTTTGATGACCAGATCTCCCCAGTTAGCAAACTACAATGCTTGAATCAACAATCCCTTCTTACTGACATATGCAGGAATTAACTTTGCAATGGATTTAAAGATTGATGAGAATAATAATCACTACTAGAAGTTCAAGAGCCCATTAAGAAATTACCTGTTTGCACACAGGTCTGTAGTTTTATAAATTGTTATTATTCATATATATTATTTATATTAGAAAACTAGTTAAATCAAAATGCAGTTCTTCAACGCATTCTAGTGAACAGGACTCACTAGTCATGTAAGCATGCATAAATTCAGCTACTTCCCAGAAAGATATAAAACCTCAGTAAGGATGTAAAATTATTTTCATTCTAAAATGGAAAAAACATAGCAACTTAGAAGTATCACAATGCCGTGTTGGCATGCACATTTTGGTTCTCAGCTGGATTCTTTTTCAATGTGTGTCACATTGAATTAAATATTTTTCCTTCCGCTAGAAGACAAATTTTCCACAGCCAATACTCACAGTTAAGCGGTGTATCTATGTATATAAAGTTAACAATGGGAGTCTCTCCTCCACCTGTATATGCTTTAACTACAAGTTTGTATTTTGTGTTTGACAACAGGTGTTTCACGGTGTATCTCTTTTCTTCTGGATTTTCAATTGTGTATTTACATAGCACCGAATCATCTAAAATGAAACAGGTAAGTCAGAATCATAGAATCTCAGAATCACAGAATCATTTGGGCTAGAAGGGACCTCAAAGATTATCTGGTTCCACATCCCTGACACGGGCAGAGACACCTTCCTCTAGACCAGGTTGCTCAAAGCCCTGTCCAGCCTGGTCTTGAACACTGCCAGGGATGGAGCAGCCACAGCTTCTCTGGGCAACCTCTGCCAGTGGCTCACCACCCTCACAGTAAAGAATTTCTTCATAATATCTAGTCTAAATCTACCCTCTTTCAGCTTAGTCATTCCCCCTTGTCATATTGCTACAGGCCCTACAGGTAAAAAAAACCTGCAGGTGTTCTTCCCTAGAGGAAAAAAAAAAAGTATCTCTACATCTTTCTTATAAGTCCACTTCAAGTATCAAAAGGCTGCAGTTAAGTTCTCCCCTACATGTGACAAATTATCTTAACCCAGATGATAGGCCACCAAAGCAACAAAACATTTGCAATTTGCACATTCTTCTGAGAAAGATGATGTGTCCTGACCCACTGACACTTGTGTGAACTCACATTCCTTCTAACTGGACATTGCACATTGCACAGCATTGCACATCCTTTGACAGCCCACCTAATAACTTGCTGTCAAAAGCTGAAACTGATTGATTTCCTTTTGCTAGAGGTTTTGAACAGAATGACTTCAGCTTTGCCATTTCCTTTTTCACTGGACTCTTGTAGCCCTTAAGCTTTGGTGAAGTTCTTGGAAGATAATCAAAAGCAAGAATTTGCTGCCTGAAAAAAAACTTCTTTTGCCTCTCTACTGTGCAACTTCCAGACCCCAGGGAGAAAAGGGTTATATTATTCCTCCTCTTTTCAGTCACGCCCCTTGTCTGAGCTCAGACAAAGCAGGAAATCTTTGATTTAAACATTTTAAAGTCTAACTGGGATGACTTGCAGAAACCTGATACTTCTATGGTTAGGTTAGTTGTGACAGGAACTTCTATATAAGCCTCCTTCAGTTCAACATAAGCTTTTCAACTTGGTACTAGTCTAATCACCAGAAGGATCTGACACAGGAGGTGACCCAACTGGAAGCAGAGGCAAAGGGGAAATTATCCTGAAACATGGTGGAAACATCTGAAAATTATAATGGAGCGAAGTCATCTGGGGCAGTTTTTACTGTGCAGCAGGAAGATCAGATATACAAGTTTAAATGTGGCTTTGTGCCACCCCACAGCTCAGTTCTGCTGAACTCCATGGTAGAGCACAGCCACAAATACGTTTGCTATAAAAGAATTTAAATAGGGAATTCACACAGTGCTCCAATTCTCAAGGAAATAAATTATATCCCATCTGTTTCTAAAATACCCAAAATCCTAGTAAAACTAGCATGCTTCCTATGACTCTCATCCAAGTAGACCACAAACAGATGTTTTCAAAATTCATCCAGAACTCAGATCATAAGAGGCAGAAACTTGACTCCTCCTACAGTACTACAACAAGCTTTTCTGGAGCTCACACTGGAGTTAAAAGTAACTATGGACAACATGACAGAGGCTAGAAATCTGTATAAAGCCAGGACCCACTTTCATCCATTAGCACCTCAAGCATTAGAGAGCATTTAAAGGCAGCAGATGTTGAAACCTGTGTATTGCCTAATAAGCCAATGTGCCTCCCTAATATCAACTTTCTAAAAGGCTGCAGCATCAGCACCAGCCACACAGTTTTCCACCTGCATTAATGACATAAATTCCTAAATCCCAGAGCCCAGTTACCTGGAAGAACATGTTTTTGGGATCCTTTCAAACTGCAGTCCTCTTGTAGAGGTGACACATAAACATGGTAGCCTCTTACAAAACCAGACTGTGATTCATTTGTGGGATAAGAATCCCAACAGAGCGTTACTGCATTGAAAGTCAGTTCAACTTTTTCCACAACAGGGTCAAGTACAGGAGCTGGAAGAAAGGAAATTCAGGTAAAACTTATCATTAGTCTTCAGGAATGTTCTCTTAAAAAACATCTACAGTCACAAATGGTGTTTCTATCCTACTTGTATTTAAAAGCTGAACAAAGCCAAAGCTCTCCACAGAGCCTTCATGCAGTTCACATTATGCCAGTCCAAATGACTGCTAATCACAGCTTTGTTCAGCTATTCTAATTAATGCTTATACAGAGACATCACAGCAAATACATTTTTAGCTAGTTGTAGTAGGAAGGATGTGGAATTCTTCTGTTTGTGACAGATTAATTTAGTAAACACACAAACCCTAAGTATATTGCCAACTTACGTAGCTCCCTGAGGAAACCAGTCTTCTTCTCCAGTAAGGATGCTTTATTAGCAACAGATCCATAGATTTGGAACTTGTATCTCACCCCTGGAATAAAAGCAGCTAGAAAATAGTGGAACTAGTTACAAAAATAGGTTATGGTTTGTCTTTTTGTTTTGCTTTTACTTAACTGATTTTTACAGAGGTCTGTACTCCGTTAGAAATCTTCTTTGTGGGCTATTGTGCTCTTAAGGCAACTGAAGGAGACACAGGGTAAACCAATTCTTAGTGTGTCGAATGTGAATTGAACAAATTTATTTTGTCTGAAAGAGGGTACTGAGGGGGATTATTACTATATTTTTGTTGCACTAGTGTATTCAAGATGAGTGTACAACAGACTGAGAATGCATCAAATCAAGATAATTTCAGTTCCATTTCTGGCACAGGCAAGGGTCATGTTTTGGACTGTTTACCATAGACACGTACTCATGCATCAGGATGCCATGTTATCCTCACTGACATCCGCTCCCACTTGCATTAACCAAGTGCATCCTACTGAAGAACTGAACAACATTTTTGCCACTCTCCCTCCAGTGAGGATGAAGGTTCTCATGTGTTTGTATGCATTGAAGTGCTGTTCCTTCACTGTACACTGAAGTATGTTCAGTCAAATTTTGTTCAAACATGTTTCATTCCAAAGCTTTAGAGAAACCAGGAAGTCTGTATTCTTTCAGCTGTGGAAGTATATCAGAACAACTTTCACACAGCTAGAATCTTTTTTTTCCCAGCCAGTAGTAGGATGAAAAACTACACAACTGGTCCTAAGCAAGGACTGGTTCTGAGACACATTACCTGTGGTACACTGACAGCACTAAACCTCTCACTACACAGTGGGTGTTAAATTGCTGGAGTCTAAACTTCTGAGCCATGTTACAGGTAAGGCAGAACTCAGTTCTGCATCTCTCCTGCTAACAGATTTTTAACTCCTTCATCAATCTCACCATCCACCCTCAAGACACTACTGCAAGACACTCAGAAGACCTTTTTCGAAAATGCTGGACTGAGTTTTCTAAAATCCTGCACTGATTTCCAAGGCTTACTAGTGCTGGTGTATTTGTGGTGTCTAATTCACTTGCTAGGCACCGCCTGACACCACATGCCTTTGAAGAATTACACCTACACTGCACAGATTTCAACATTCCACAGGATTTGTTTCTTAAATTCAGTTAATGCCCACAGCACGAAAGATTGTTGCACAGGCATCAAGAAAGAAAAATGGTTCATCTTTCACCTGAGTTGATCAGAGCACTGGAAGTGTTGGGCCCAAATCTCTTCCACTGCAAGTCGCAAGGCTGTAACATTGGAAAATTACACCAATCAACAATGTAATTGTCATATATATGTCTGGGCTCCCAGGTAATAAAAATGCCATCATCTGTACCATTAACCTGTTCTTCTTTAAGCTCTTTGGTGTCTAGGAATGAACAAAACATAGTGGCTGTTATTCTCCTTCATAAGACCCTTGATTCATAAATGAAGATCAATATAGTTTCTATGCTAAATTGTTAAAAACAATAATAATAAAACAGTCACATTCCTTCACTATCAGACGTACTGGATCTTTCACAGGCTGCAAGTTGATTTCTGTGGATGCTGAAAGCTGACAGCTAAAACAAAATCCACTAATTATTACTATATATTCATAAAACTTCAGAAACCTGGAGACATAATAACAAGAGGCTAATCACACACAAAAGCTCTCCGCAAGGCACTGGCTGCATCTTCACAGCACCAGCCGCAGGTCTGAGACCCTAATTTAAGGCTAAATGTGTTTTGCTCTGCGGAGCCTCTCTGTGCAAAACAGACTGTCTGTTGAAAGGGATGGATCAAGGCACTTAAGCTAAATATTCATGCAGTCACCATCCTGTAGGCAGTAACACCTTCATAATTTTCAGATAGCAGTGATGTGAGTTAACAAGCCAGGTTAGTTTGTTACCCCAGGATGATAAATTCTCATACTGGAACGGTTCAAAACTCTCATAATGGAAACTAACTGAAAACTGTTACCTGTAGTGCTAGGGATTATCAATATTGAAGGAAGTGAATAATTAACATTGTTCTTTGCTGTGATACTGATTCTGTAAGAATGGTTATCAATGGAAATCCTTGTGCTATTGTAGACTGATGAAAAGGTGATGCTTTCAGACTTAGAATCATCTTCTACTTTTCCCCAGGTTACGTCATATGAAATATTTTCTCCATTTGCTTGAAAACTTGGTGCTTGCTGGGGAAAATGTTAAAGGGGTGGACACCAATTACTTACTACATTTTTGGAAAAAAAAAAAAAAAGGAACATTTAGAAATTTAAATAACTAATTGGATATATTACTTCTGTAAGAATATATATACTTGTTTCCATACATGCATACATATACTGGTGGAAACAGAAACGCAGAAATCTCAGTAATGGGTTTTGTCTTGCTATAACAGTTAGAAGTATATGTCTGAAATGCCAGAGCAGCACACAGCTACGTATATTCTAACATATGTCATATCTGATATTTGTCTCTGATTCTTAAAAAGACATTTTCATACTGAAGTGGTATTAAGTGCACACAAACTTGTTAAAGTTCATGGAAGAAATTTCCAACTTGTTCATGACAGGCTTTGCTTCTGTTTCTGTACCAATGCCTTACCTTCCAGAACAAGGTCACATTCCTGCCCCCCTGAACTGGTGTAATTTCTCTCCAGATGTCCAGTTTCCCCGACGGAACTGCAATTAATACAGCAAATCAAAGGTATTCTAGGTGCAGAAAGGATAAACCATTCAATTGTTTCCTTCTATTTGAAGGAATTCCAACCCCAAACCCTCTTTTTCCATTTTCCCCATCACTGGCAGGTATTGCCAAAGAATTATCCTTTAACTTCTTTCTCTCTTCATTATTCTTTCTGAATGAATGTCTCACTCATCTCCCTAGAAAATCCTTCTTTGCTTGCAGTTCCCAGTTCTCTGCACCATTCCTCCAGCCCTCACAGAACACTAACTCAAGTCTGCCCATCCTCCAGTCATCTGCCTGCACTAGATGAAATGGCAGACTTGCAGCTAGGATAAGAGTTGCTTAATAGGAGACACCTTCTTAAATTTTGCTTAGTGTGCCTCTACTTTTATGCATGTGACAGGCCTCTGCTTTAGCTACACAGCAAGATCATAGCACCAAATGTCAAAACAGAGGTGGCAAGTAAAGAACATCCTTCAAGCTTTCCTTCTCAATAGATTGGACATACTTGCTTCATTTGTTCTGATGGTTCGGGCTTCACTCCATTCACTCCACCTCCAGAAATGCTTAGCTGCCCCACAGTGCACTCTAGTTGTGTATTCAGTGTATGGCTGCAGTCCATCCAGCGTAATGCTCTGTGAGCCATAATGGAGGTGTGTGTCTGAACTATTATGCTGCAAGACAGAAAAAGAGAACAGTTAAGGCTCAGTTCATCTTCATTAGCAAGAGGTTTTTGTCTAAGAAATATAAAATAGCTTTTCCTCTAGATACTATAGTAGCCAGTTGAGTTGGAAAAGATAAACATGCAACAATAGTCAAAAAAAAAAACAAACCCTAAAAAAGATTTTCACAAGATCAAAAGACTGGGAGATCCAAAAAGAAGTCTGCAGGCTGTCTCAGTGTAACTGAGTATGAGTCACGCACAACCTGTCAAGTGACTACTTTCCACATGAAGCAGGGAACCTAATGAGATCTTAACCTCACAGTCTGGGCCTCTTACTTAGTTCATGTAAGTAGTATGTTGTTTCAGATCTATCCACAGCATCTATTCTTTCATTTTTCCCCCACCCTTTTCCTCCACTCCCTCCCAAGAAGCAGAGAGAGTTCTAGCAAAAGTCAGAAAGTGAGCATGCTTTCAAGCCTCTCATCTAAACTGTTTTCTGCAATGATCAACTGCAGCAGCAGCCATTTGACCTAACAGCTCCTGAGCAATACTTAAGCCAGGACGCAATTTGATCCTGATCTTCATAATGCCTTTGTAATACACTAGAGGCAAGCTGCCTTCATAAGATAAGGGCTACAGAGGAACGACAGTACACATACAAATGGTGAGACTGGCTAACTCTTTGCGAAACAGGTGGAACAAACAAGGAGGCCACTCAGATAACCTTCAGGGAGATGGAAGAACATGGTAAGAGAAACTGTGTGGGGTTCCCTCATTAGAAACCAGACACACTACCATAAAGTACAGTAAACAGTACACAGAAAGCTCCTGAACTAACATGAAAAAAGCCTTCAACACGCCTTTCAACATTTGTGTGTAAGATGAGATGAGTAATAAAAACATGATACATCAAGGTGAGCAATAGTTAACGGTTATCCTACCCAGCTATCCTAAGTGTAGATCAAACAAATCCAGAAAACAGACACATCAACATGGTCATGAGATTTAGACTGTATGCAAATTGCTGGGAAATTATTTTTTAATCTCACATAAAAAAAGATACTGGTTATGTTTTTGTGTATGAAATTCAGGTTTCATACCAATTCTACTTTCCCATCAGGTAGGAGCACTTCAGTCTGACAAAAGAGTTCAATTCCTTTGTTTCGATGTCTCCAATATAATGTGATTTTGGTATCTGTGCATTCTTCCCACAGCTGCGAAGGTGCAGCGGGATAAACTGTCAACATCAACAGAAGATCTGAGTTAGCCCTCATAAAACATAAGGAATTTTAAGGTATTTTAGCTTAGTAGTAAAAGCAAATAAATACAGATTTCTTTGCCAGTCTAGGAGAAGCATATCTAAATTAGTAAAAAATTAATTTTAGAATATAAATGCAAGTAAATATTATTAAAAAAACTAACAAACCAAACCAAAAATAGAAAAAAAAAAACAACCCTTGTGCTGACTTGGAAATATTTTAGAAAATTGTGAACAAAAGACGGACTCAAGAGACTTTTATTGCACACACTGGAAAATTCTCTAATCCAGGAGCTCGGTGGAGGCTCCTGATGTAGCACAGTAACATTTCCCACATTTCTATACCCCAGGATCCAGTCTTTTCACCACAAATTTTATTCATATCTCTTACATTGACTCCTGACAGTAGTTACCCCCTGGTAAACAATGCCAATGATACTTCTTCCAGAAGATTTCTGAGATCCTTTCCTGCTATGTAACCAGTATTCAGAGAGCAGCAGATCTCAAACTCTCCCATATTATCAATACAATTGTAAGGAATAAAACACGGCCATGTGAGTAAGCAGTATGTTTACAGCCTTGGCCGTTATTCTAATGGACAATGAATTACAACTTGAGGACTTCCAGACTCAAAGGAGCTTTGATAGAGAGGGTCCCACCTACCACCTGCAGAATTGGAAATGATGGACATCAGTTTTCCTTTACTCACTGACAACCTTTAAATAAGGAAAATTCTACTGTAAGTATGTCCAGGACCAGAAAAAAAACATAAAGGACTTTACAGCAACCACTATTTAAAAGGTTAACTCATATCACTTTTAACTTTTAACAATCACCAGAACTGGAAAACTAGTAAAACTTTAATGTACTTAGCACATTGAATGTAATCTATTTTAACCTGAATTTCCATGAAAACTTACTTTATAAAATTGTGTTGTATCACTACAACCTCCTAGTTTGCTCTTTCACTTTCTTCCTGCTCTATTTCTTTCACCCCAAAACAATCAAATACTCAACTTTTAGAACTCTCATGCCTTTCTGAGACAAATTTATCAAAGCCAGGTGCTTAACATCAGTTCCTACAATTCATATGAAAAAGCATGTCTAGCAAAACTGTAATCAATGCCTCTGAGGAAGGAAGCACTGCCAAAATGCAGCAGTGACACCAGATTCCCTGTCCATCAGATGTCAGCTTCAGAACTAAGCAAAGTACTTGTTGCCTCCTTCAAATAGCTAATGCAGCCACAGGATCTTCAGAACACTGAGGTGATGTGGTGGGACTAGAAGGCACAAGGAGAACTGGAAATACTGCTGGATACACAGGAAATACCCAGGTGTTTTAAGGCAGAAGTAGGTAGGAACTTATGGGACCTGGGGTACACTGTGATGATGGCTAAAACTCACAGGGAAGAAGAAATCACAGCCATCAGCTACTGCTCACAGAACAATCTGCTTTATTTCACTGATGATGAACTACTCTTCTGCCCTTACAGTAGCACTGCTGACATTACTGTTCAGTATTAGCACCAAGAATGTTTAGCACTATGACCTCTTTCCTGGCAATGGCTGCTTGTATCTGCATCACAACCCTTTTGGAGAGGTATTAGTAATTTTATTTACCTACTTTTCAAAATATGCATCTCCATTTTATATCGGCAACACAGTAACATCAGCAATAATACTTTGGAGAAAGGACTGCATTCCCAAGTAACTGACACAGACATTTTTCTTGAACTTCCCATTTTATATCCTTGCATCATGTTGCTTCCTATACTAAGAACCAGCTTTAACAGAGCAACAGATTTTGAAACCTTTAGGGGTCATTTCAGTAACCAAATCTGACCTTTGTAGTGAAACTGGTTTTTACCATTAACACAGCTTATCAAGGCTGAAACTGAAAAGCAAGTGGGTAACTACAACACAGGGTCAGAAAACTAATGAAAATTGTGAAGATAAAAATCAAGGACTTCTTTACCTTAAACTGGGACACTCAAGCATTAGGATCAGAAGGAGGACAAGAAAACCTCAACAAAGAAATAGAAAACATCTTACTTCTGTGAGTTACATCAAAAACATCTGTGGCAGTTTTCTTTCCCAGTGGGTTTTCCACAGTTACTGTGATATTCAGGATCCTCTGCTGGCCTGTATCCCAAGAACACGAGCACTGCTCAGAACAACTTACTGTGCATGGAACCTTTTTGTGGGAAAACCTATCAAAGAAAGTGGGGGTGAAGGGGAGATGAAGAGAGAAAGACGTTTTTCTATAATGTACAATCAACATAGATGTTGAAAATGCCCAACAACATTATAAAAAATAAGGCGGAGGCGCACTAAAAGAGGCTACCCAGTTCTTTCCCCTAGCCTGCCATGAGATGTTTATAGTTATTCTTACAATTAGAATAAATTTTTCTTCAAAGACTGAGTTTATCTTTTTAAGATGCAGCTAAATTGCCATACTTTTAAGATACAGTCAAACTTACTTTATATCCTTTTATGACACAGCTAAATTGCTTTTAGTTATTTCCTTGTGGAAATTCTAAACTAGGGACTTATTTGCCAAGAATTAAGTGTTTCACATAGCTACCATTATGTTTTTAAATGAAGCAGTGATTTCAAGTGCATCTTCTAAACTTCCATTGTGAAATCAGCATCATAATATCTAAATGGAATTGAATGATGAAGAGACCACGAAGGTATAATGCAGTGATGACCTGCCTTCTGCTGAGATCTTTTGATGAAAGTTTGTTGTTCCCCTTTCTCTGTAGGCCCTTCCCTCCCTATTTAAGTGCCTCTGTAGCAAGGAACCAAGGGCTAGGTCTGATAAGCCTCAGCTGTGTAGCAGCTGTAATTATAGAAACTATAGGCAGAAGTAGGATTGTCAGTAGCTCAAGAAGGAAAACACTAGGATGTAGTTATAAAATCCTACGGAAAAAGTGCTAGAGAGGCTAATCAGGCTAGCTGAGGATTAGCTGGGAATTACCAGTTTGCGCCAGCATTAGTGCAAATTCCTTGCACACTAATACCAACTGCAAATGCTAGTTACCTGTTGTGTGTTTTACCCAGTAATTACAATACATTTTTCAGTTATCTATATTATGATTGCAGGGTGTTTTGGTACCTATTGAAAGATATCCAAACAAATTAACCCAAAAGAATGGTTAGAGTAAGTTTTATCAAGCAGAACCTGGTCTGACGAACATGCAACTTTGTTGTAAGCAGTCTAATTGAGAGCAGTTTTGCATTGCTCAGACTTTGTTAAATAAAGGATCAGTGAGCTGAAAAGAGGCAGCAGCCTACTGCAACAAGGATAAAACATTTCCACAGATTTTAAATGAAAGAACGTAACTGTTTTGTACAGCAGAGGCCAGAGTTAATATAACAATGAGTATACTTACTCTTCATACAACGTGTATTTTGGTGAATGACATCCATAAAGATACGTGTCGCCTCCTTGGCTCCAAGTACACGTCACTGTTCTCATGTCTTGAGTTTGGCAGGAAAAATCATCAGGTGCATCAGGTGATTCTTATCAGAAGGAATACACAAAGAAAACACCAACAGCATGGCAGTCAAGGCAGAAGTCATCAACCTTTTTACTATATTAACAAACTACAAATAATGGATATTTACAAAGTTTAGGTTACTACAGATGTTATTATTTCAGTTATGCTTATTCAATGACTATCCCACAGAGAAATCAGGATAACACCATAAACTAATTTCAATCTGAACACTGCTGTATGTTATTATTTTGTTATATACATATACTCATTAATTTAATCTGCACTGTCTTCTATCTGTAAAAATTGCTACTAGCCTTCAAAAGGGGACTGTGCAGAGTTTTTACCTCATGCACACAGACAACGAAGCTGAACCCACGTTAACATCAGGAAGAACTTCTTTACTGTGAGAGTGACAGAGCACTGGAACAGGTTGCCCAGGGGGGTTGTGGAGTCTCCCACATTGGAGATATTCAAGACTCGCCTGGACAAGTTGCTGTGTGATGTACTCTAGGTTACCCTGCTCTTACAGGGGGGTTGGACTAGATGATCTCTTGAGGTCCCTTCCAACCCTTGGGATTCTGTGATTCTGTGAACTCCTAAGTGCGTAGGTATATTTAAAAAAAGAAAAAAAAATCACTCACCTGTCCTAGGGTCAATTAATGAGATTAATCTGAACATATTTAATGCTATTCTTTAATTCTTTCTATATGCAAGTGTACAGATATGAAGTCAGACGACAGGACAACAACTCCCTCACAGCCATTCTTTATTAATAACAACAGGAAAATAGAATTGTAATAAAGCATTCACTTACTACCCACAAAGAAAACTGCATGATCATAGCATTGCTCCTCATCGCAAGACTCTTGACAGTAGACAGTGATGTGAGGCACTCCTTGATGTGACACGTTTTTCACAGTGAGAAGCCTGACTTGACTGTCTGTGTGACTGAAAACATGAACATCTGGAGCTAGAAAGAATTCCTTAAGGATTTGACCTTTCCTTCCAATGCAACAAAGAGTGATGTCAGAGCCCTCCTCTACAATTTTCTCATTTGGAAAGATTTGTGGTCCACTGTTATTTGAAGTGTCCAAGCCTGCAAATTAATATATATTAGACATTTCAAAATCTGTTCACAGCAGCAACCTTCAACCAGAACACGTAACTGAGCATTTACACAAGAATCTGTCAATATTATATTATCCATTCACAGACTTCCATTTAGTTAACTCCACATGTAATTATATCTATATTTCTCCCAAACCCAGAAACATATAATGTAGTCCAACAAACTACTTAAGAGACTAAATTCATCTCCCTTCCTGTCTTTCACTTAGGAGAAAAAAAGAGTGTGGATTTAAGAACTGCTTTTACAGATGAACACTACCTCCTGCACCAATAAAGATTCTGATGCTCAGCCAAAATGCCTGCTCTTGAAGATCATAAGCAGGGGACTTGAAAAACATAATCTTCTGAAGCCCATGCAGCACTCAGCTAAGAGGAAACAACATCGAATGCATTAGGTCAGTAAGGTGATACTCAACTTGGAATGTCCAATTTCAACTGAAAAAAATAAAATCTCCATGACTGAGCTTACTGAGAAATCAATGGAGACTTGCCTCCTATTTCCCATTGTATAAGGTGGGGAGAGACTGGCAATTTATGTGCCACATTCCAAGTATAGAGATCTGCGATTCTTCTACTACCCATGATATCTCCCATAACTAAAAGCCCTTGCTGCTCCAAATAAGTTTCTTTATAAAGCCACTGTAGTAATTTTTTATGTAGCAGTTACATATTTTGTTTTAAACAAATTACCTGGAAACCAAACTATTCTAGTAAGACATTGTAATATTGGATATAAGGAGGAAATTCTTTCCTGTTAAGGGTGGTGAGGCACTGGAATAGGTTGCCCAGGGAGGCTGTGAATGCTCCACCCCTGGCAGTGTTCAAGACCAGGCTGGACGAAGCCTTGGGTGATATGTTTTAGTGTGAGGTGCTCCTGCCCATGGCAGGGGGGGTTGGAACTTGGTGATCTTAAGGTCCTTTCCAACCCTAACTATTCTATGATTCTATAATAATATAAAAAAAAAGGGTTTTGTGATATCATTAATTACGTTATTGATTCATTCCCTGTTTACACTCATAATTCACAGAAGTTCATTCCAAGTGACATAAAGATCTGACACACTCCTCTCTCTCTCCTTCTTTAATACAAATGAAAACTATGAACTCCAGAGAAAAGCAACAGATGCATCAGATGATGTAGTCATAGCTATGCGCTTCTTACTCTCTCCCTCAGAATAGGCCAGGGCTGCATCTCACCTAGTGACCAGCTATTCCAGCACCTATTCAGGATCTCATGCCACTCTCTGTACTGTATTGTTTTAATGTATTAACAAGAAAAGATCTAAAACTTTTGATCTGACAGCTTTGGAAGACAGTCTCTACCTTAAAACAATGGCTAAACCATTGCTACTATTTATATATTATATATAAGTATGTATTATTATATATACATATTACTTATATAATAGTACGTATTACTATTACTAGAAAAAAAAAAAAAAACAAACAAACCACAATAGTTGATTAGTGCTTAAAGATGAAAGAGTTCAAAATGGATTCTTGATTTGACACCATCTCTCCTGAACTACATTTTAGCATTACAGTCACCAGTGAATTACAATCTAGCTTTGTACTGGGAAAAAATAAAACCATTATTGCAAAGTCTTGTTTTGCTTACCTAGCACAGTCTCCCACAGACTCCACTGACTCCAGATTTTTGATGCTTCTGCTTTGCTCCTGATTCTCACTGAGTGTGCCATACATTCCAAAGGTATGTCTGAATTCCATATCCAATGAAGAGGCTTTCCTGATTTATCAAGTGTGGTGTTATGAAACTCCTATGAAGAGCAGTAAGGCAAAGTATTGAAAACATGGCTATGTGCAGACACTTCGAAAGTAAAATACAAGCAGTGAAAGAAAGCTAAAAAGAGAAAAATGCTTTCGAAAAAATTAATTTCTGAAATCCCACTTGCTTCACATGATCTCACACTAAGTAACTAGTAGCTGAGTAACTGCTTACAAATCTGTTCCAGCAGCAGCGGTGTGACTGATGCGCTGGCAAGACTATTTAATTCCAACAACACAACTGTGAGTCAGGCCTTGCTTCTCAAGAAACAGATTCACTCTCAGAGACTTTCTGTATGTTACTTGTGCAGGCTATTCCATAAGTAACAGCGTGCAGAGATGCAGCTGCCTGCAGACACACCTTCTGTAACGATCTAGGTTACATAGTCCTGGCTTTGAATTACAGCCAATTAGGATTTATGCAGACAATATCTCACTGTATATCCAAGGCACAACATTTAAGGACAGTGCTACCATCAGTGACAGGCAGAGTAGGAAAATATCTGCTGATTTCATAAAATCATAGAATGGTTTGGGTTGGAAAGAACCTTAAAGATCATTTAGCTTTGAACACCCCTGCCACGGGCAGGGACACCTTCCACTAGATCAGGTTGCTCAAAGCTCCATCCAACCTGGCCTTGAACACTTCCAGGGATGGGGAATCCACAACTTCTCTGGGCAATGTCTTCCAGTGTCTCATCACCCTCAAAGTAAAGAATTTCTTCCTAATACCTAATCTAAACCGCCCCACTGACAATTAAAAGCAATTCCCCCCCCCCTCCCCCCACCTTGTCCTATCCCTACATGCCCTTGTAAAACATCCATCTCCAGCTATCTTGTAGAACCCTTTAGGCACCAGAAGCTGTTGTAAGGTCTCCGAGAGACTTCTCCAGGCTGAATAACCCCAACCCTCTCAGCCTGTCTTCATAGGAGAGGTGCTCCAGCTCCTTCATTATCTTCATGGCCCTCCTCTGGACTCACTTCAACAGTTCCACCTCCTTCTTGGAGGGCAAAAATCACCTCCCTCAACCTGCTGGTCATGCTCCTTTTGATGCAACCCAGCATACAGCTGGCTTTCTTGGCTGCAAGCACACACCGACAGGTTTTGTTGAGCTTCTAGTCAATCAGCATCCCCAAGTCCTTCTCCTCAGGGCTGGTCTCAATCCTTGCTCAACCCAGCCTGTATCTGTGTTTGGGATTGCCCTGATACAGGTGCAGGACCTTGCACTTGGCCTTGTTGAACTTCATAAGGTCCACCTCTCAAGCATGCCCAGGTCCCTCTTCCCTCCAGCACCACGCTCCAAATCCCCACTTAGTTGTAGTTATAGGGCCGCAGTTTCTCACTTCAGGGTTAGATCTACTCATGGAGTACTAGAAATCCTATCCCATGTACCAATGGTCAAAATTATCTGAACTGCATAGAACTCATCTGCATTGAAGATGTGGTTCTTCAAACACAGAGACAAAATAATACCAGATTGGCTGACCAGGGTTAAGTTGTGATTCTTAACAGCACTCTCTTATTTTATTGACTTCTGGTTACAGAAAAAAGAAGCCCTTCTCTGCTTTCTGTGCTTTCTCACGAATAGCAGCTTTAAATAAGCTAGACCAGTTTTCTGCTTTTACTAAGTTTTAATATGTGCATATTCTTTCACAGTTCAGTCAGCAGACACACAGTAAGCTATAATGTACCTAAAGTATGCATTTAGTTCCCAAAGGATTTTTGTCAGAGGTAATATTTTTTTTGAGAGGAAATTTTCTTTGGATACAAAAGTTCTCACACTGAAGTCACAAACTGGGGAAAACATTAGGAGCAGACCTATGATTTGAGTGATTTCCACCTCTTCAGAAAGTTTGGCTGGTTTAGGTATTAAGGAAAAGCAGCAGTACAGGGACTTTGCAAACAAGTCATCATTATTTAGTCCTTAACTGGAAGAGTATAATGTAACTGGGTATAACATAACTGCTAACAGGGTCAAGCACAGAGCTCAGAAGGCTTCACTCACACTGAGACTACGTTCGGTTTGTAAGGTGAGAGAAGTTGTGGCAACATGACTCATGCTCAGTCCCCAGTGGATAGTAATCATGCTACAAAAAAGACTGCTTTGGGGAGCAGTAGAAAGGATATTTCTGGGAAGCTGCTTAAGGGATCTGCACCTTGAAAGGGAAGGAGTGGCCTTCAAAATCAGATCTCCTAAGTCTGCCCACCACAGTCCCTCAATAAAGGTATGCAAGGCATATCTACATTCTGCACAGTTGGAAATTACTTCTTCTGAGCCAGTTTTCTTTGGGGTTTTTTTGTACAAAAACTGGGAATAACCTTAGACAAAGTCTGGCACCTAGGTAGAAATACAGAGGTATTTTTAGTACAGTTCTGTAATTAGTATGTTGTAAGCTGTAAACCTATACGGAAAGCTATCTGCATATGCATGTGAACATTTGATTTTCCTTTAGCTTCCTTTACACTTTAAAAACTAATACACCTTTTTTAAAAAAATACACTTACTGTCCACACAGTTTCATCTGTTCGACGAACTTGTATTTCAAAAGACATTGCCAGCTCAGCATCATGTGCTGACTTGCCAACATCCCATTCCACCAGCAGCCGCTGAAGAGCCAAATCCTTGGAAATGTTAAGGTAAGTCACTGGAAACACAATGGATTCTAGGAGCACAAAAGGGACATGATAATATTAAAGTTTAGCTAAGTTACAAAGCAAATCTGAAACAACAGTGGCTACTGGATATGTTCCAAATTAGACAGTTCTGATTTGGGGAAGGAAGAGGGGGAGGAAGTAATCAAGACCCATGCTATTGGTATCAAAGATAATTTTTTATGTTAAGCATGAGCAGCTAGAATGAGGTTCCTGAATCTAGTCAATAGTCCCCCTACCACTAGATTGGCTGTGCTATTTAGTTTCTTTATACCCTCAATTTACTAGCTAATTTGTGGAAATACCGACCCATCCCCTTTATAGTCTTATGAAAAGGAATAACACTATATATTAGCAGAGACTGAATGCCAAGAAATCCCACCCCCAGCAACCCTTCTCATCATTAGGCAGAAAATCAAGGCTCAGTTTTGCTCTCTGACCTAACTAGAAAGGTTGAGAGTTTCCCTCCACTAACCAGCTCAGATGATATTCTAGTATTACACACATTCATGGGTGCTCTACACTGAGCTTAGGTACTTCAGTCAGGCCTGTGGATTCTCCTCTGGAATTAGACACCTACTTATAAATGTATCTCCATTCTTTTTGAGGGTCTAGAGTTAATTTCCAGAATAAAGTAAAGTTTAAAAGTCAGACTGAAGTGCCTTTTGGTGTCAGGAAAGGAAAGGCCCTTAAGAAGACTAACCTGCTGAAACCTATAGATCAGCTTGTAAGTGATCTCTCTTTTTAGATGTTTGTCACCTCTACCAGGAAAAACTAACTCTTGGGGGAGACAAAATATGCCACTCACTTATCTGTATCTTCTCTCCTTCCTGAAAAACAAACAAACAAGCAAACAAAACCCTACTGGTCTGGTTGTCAATGAAGCCAGGGAGCTGAAATAGCCAAGTTACCAGGCTTTTTCTTTTGACACACTTGCTTTCCAATATGCTTCTGCTTGTTACAAATGATAGCATCAGAATGCTTACACTGACCAGGACACAGAAATCACAGAAATAACTCTATATTTTAATAAAACAGAACTCATTCTTGGCATCCCTGTCCCACTACAGCCACATTCCTTAGGTCCAACATGGACTGAGAGATCTCAGCAGCTCCTTTGTTCCCAGAGTGGACTCCTCTAGTCATTTCTCCCAGTTGTGCTTCACCCACTGACCCAATGATTACCTGAGCACTTTTACAGAATATTACTGACACAAATGCAAGCATTCAGGAAATTTAGTTTGAGAACCTACATTTTGATAGATGTTTCTGGCAGCAATCCAAACTGTTTTGTAATTTATCCTGTACTGCCTAATTTCTGTGCAGCAGTTTCCCTACGTATAGATCTTTACGTTAACTGCAGGAAATTAAAGGCTCATGAGAAGCAGCAGCTGTAACAATCCCTGATCAATCAAAGGAAGCAAGTAACACTTTATGAGCATATTTATTAGTAATGAAAATACAGACACTGACACAGCTTATTTGTTCATGAAAATTCAGCCTATAAAAGAACAAATGGAGGAAAGTATATATTGTTTCATTAGTTCTAAAACTGATAAAAAACTGTTGAAAAGAAAGAACTGTTTCTCTTTTAGCAAATCATCAACAAATTCCATTGGTATATTTTTAATCCACTCCAGTTTGAATGATACTGAAAGTAATTTAAAGCAAATTAAAGCCATATGCTTTCGATCTAGAGGAAACTACTGCCATGAGCTTTTACATACGCTTGGAGGGAGAAATCAAGTCTTCAGTGTTCAAACACTTGGTCTCAGAAACAGAACTGCAGTAACCTATAAAAGTTTTTGAGGAAGAAGTATACACACAAACATATGTACATATACTTCCTATCAATTCTCCCTGCAGTCTTAATATATAATTACCAGAAAAGATTAACATGTGTAAATTACATGAAAGCAGAATTTGATGGCATCTGTGTCTTCCACAAGGCTGGTGCAAAAATATTTCACGTGCAGAAGCAAAATTTCTTTTTGCCTATGGTTATGACATAGTTCTTAAAAATAACGTATCTGATGGCTGACATTCGCTTTTGAAAAATAATGGACATCAGTTTTACACTAGCAGAAGGAAACCCAGCACCTATGACTACTAGTAGATGCCTTGAACTGTATAAGCAAAGTGGAAGACCTATGGATCAATTTCACTTCCCTGAATGATGAGGGAGCAGCAATTTTAGGTTTTACTGGCCAACAGAAATATTGTTATTTTCACTGCCAAGGACTGATCAGGCAAGGAGGCAGTATAACCAAGGCAACAAAATGAGCCATAAAAATAACTGTGGAAGCAGAGTATCTTAAATTATTTTGGGAAGGTAAGACAAGGCATATTTCATCTCCCCACATTCTAGTGACCTTCACCACCAAAACAAGATAAAGGCTGTTAAAATCCCATTTATGCTTGGGAATTGACTGTGATGTTGTTCCTCTCCAATATGTAATTTTAGCTGCTCATTTTCTAGTCAAACTTACCTGTATATTCATCATCCTTCTACCTGAAGCAATATATACAAAGCCTCTGAGGGGATCTCATTTCACATATGCAAGTAGTGGGTGATTTAAAAGCTCTGCCCCTCACCATTCTTTTGTTTTCCTTTTGCAATGCTGAAGCAACTAAGAGAAACAGATGGGCCCAGCACAAACAGACCTAAAGGAAGGGACTCAGGTAGTCTCTCAATGAAACTCATGGGCACAAAGTAATACTCCCAGAGAAAGGAAACAAATACGACTGAAGCCATGCCGTTGGCAGAAACCCCTTCCTTTTTCAGGGTGCACCATGAAAAGAAACTCCTGCATATCTTCTGAATTTCCCTACCATCTTTTCTGCTCCTTCTCTAGGGAATTCTAGAGTGAGCTAGAATGTCACTACTGTGCCTACTGCATTGACAATAAACTTGCCTCTCTTATGTCTCTTCTTGTCCAAGCTAAAACATTTTCCCTTTTGTTACCATGGAGAATATTTTCACCTGCCACATTTAATTAACTTAAAAAAAACCAAGAACAAACATCTCATTAGTTTATGGTTTTTCACAATTTGTACAAACGTCCCACTTTAGCTAGATGACACAGGATGTGGCCAAAGCATGCAGCACAGCACATCTGCTTCCAGCTCATATCATGGGCTGTCACACATCATGCTCCATGTGTTGCAGAATAAGACCTCAACCTGTCTGGCATAGTCATCCCAGCCCCAGAGAGCCACAAATCTTGCTGCTCTGCAGGCAGGCAGCAGAGCTGTGGGTGTGCTGCCTGCACCCTGACTGGTACCACAGGACAAACCCTGCTTGATGTCCAACACTTGAACACTTCAATCCCTGGGAAGTGTTCAAGGTCAGGCTGAACAGGGCTTTACACAACCTGGTCTAGTGGGAGGTGTCCCTGCCTGTGGGAGAGGGGTTGAGAACACATGATCTTTAAGGTCCTTTCCAACCAAAACCATTCTATGATTCTATGATACCCCTTCAGACTTCACACCATTTTGTTTTTAGCGGAGCCTGGCATATGACAATCTAGATCATCAATCAGGGCTTATACACAGTACCAGCAAACAAAAGAAACAATATAGCTAAGGATATACCCAAGATCTTGAAGACCACTGAGTTGCAGTGTGGAGCTTAAAGACGTTTAGTAGTATGACTTAACACATGCAGAAACATTTCTAGCATTCACAGTTACAATCTTCCCCTTCTACCAAACTTCAAGGCATTTTAAGACTTGTTTTTACTTGAAAGCTATCTCAAGACTATATGAATAGCTTTATGATTAACACAGACTAATTTTATGCCTGAACAGCTGCATGTGAAAACAAATGACCAAGTTGTTGTAATGCAGTAACTGTTTGGACTTGCCTGCATTACAAAGTTTTGCCACTTTAGGGGCATTGATAACAGCCTCAAAAGTGAGGAGCTGCTACCTTAGGTGAACAGAGTGTGGATGAATGAGTTTCAAGGTTGAAGAGAGGCAACAAAGTCTGAAACAGACATATTACCCCTTAAGTATGATAACAAAAAACCCACCCTCCTTCACCAGTTTCACTAAGGCAACAGACCTTTCATAACACAGACTGCAGTCTGGTAAATTCTGCCTTCTTAATAGCAGTCACAGAAAAGTCAATGTAAAATATTCATTCCTTTTTTTTTTCTTTTAAAGGAGTCACACCGAATGCTACTGCCAGCAGCAGGTGTGCAATCAGTACTTTCACCTTAAAATACTCAGCATTCTGGGAAGTTACCTTTATACTCAACTTTATTCCCTCCAAATTACATGCATATGGCTTTTTTCTTTATACTAGATACGCAAAAGCATAAGAAATAAAGAACTGGTCCCAGAATATTGTGGCATAATCAGAAAAGAGCCAGCAGAAGTATTGAAGTTTTCACAGATGAGACAAAAAAAAAACCCCAAACAAACAAACAAAAACCACAAACATGAAGAGGCAGAAAAGTACAGATGTCAAAAAGGATATAAATTCTTTGAAGATGACAGAATACAGATCAAAAAAGAAAAAAAAGAGACAGAGGAGAAGCACATGAATAAATACACTCTGGCTTCACATCATTGCAAGTAACTGATTCAAGACGAAATTTTGCATTATGGGGTTACAAAAGGTAGTTATACAATTTGCTTAACCACCTTACCAAAGAGAATAATTTAATTAAACATGTAACATGTTGCTTAATCACCGAAGACTTACAAATGTGCAAGTCCAAAGCTTGAGTTGTTGTAGACTGCTCCCAAATAAAAAAACAAATGTTTGGACTTTTACCTTCCTGCGAGTATGTAGTGTAGCAAGTCCTCAGAGGGAGCAGTACTGCCAGAACCATGAAGTGATTCATCATTTATCCACCTTTTCCTGCACAAGACTTATCAGGAAAGAAGACATTTCTTTTTGTTTCTTTTAAGAGAAATGCATGCCAGGCAATAGTCCAGATAATATTACTGTATTTAAGAATAAATAAAAACCCAACCACACAGACTCTAGGCAGTTTAAGACAAATTCAGGAAGAACTGTTTTTAGGACCTGGTTGCATGATAGGAAAAATACACTACACTCAAAAAGTTCAATTTAAGCTAAACAAAACACAGTATCTTAAATTTTCTAAGGAATATAAAAAAAAATTGTCATGATATATTTTGCCTTTACTCCTGCACAAGTAACAAGATACCCAAGACGGGGGGGGGGGGGGGGGGGGGGCAAGTATCAAAGATGCAAAAGGCCTTTTTTTGCTCTACCTACAATCTGGCTTATGAATTCAGCAGACTCTGGCAAGCATGGTCTTGCCCTTTGCCAGCACACTATATGGATGGCTTTAGTTAAAACTGCAGTTGAAATACACCTATCAAAAGTCTTAGCAGCTTCCATTCCTAGGACTGTCATCTCAAGCATGACATAGCTCTATCTAGTGTTCTTTTTACAGCTTTTACACTTACATTGTGATGAAATTCCTTTCGACTTGCACAGCTGAGTCCTGAAGGACTGATTGCATGTCAGATCTTATGAGACATTAATAACCTGCAAATTCCATGCAGAAGGGAGAGGAAAACAGTCAGCACCAGAATAGTTAAAAGCACTCAGGCACAGAGGGTACAGGAGTCCAGAAAACAGGAATAGGACTATGGGTACAGCTATCTTTAATTTCCACATTTTACATTTCTGGACCTGTGTAGAATAGTGATAAGTCTTCTACCACTGCTTCCATAACAGAATTCGAAACTGTTTGGTAAGACAGATAACCAGGATGACTTTCTCTCTCCACAAAGCCAAGGACAGAACATTTACTGAATTTAGAAGGGTCAGTAACTCACACTAGAATTTCTTCCTAGCAGAAAACCTCCAATTTAACACCTCAGAGCTACAGACACTTCAATTTATTGATCCTTAGGTTTTGAGGAGCTCTGAATTTCTCCAAAGGATAAAAAGAAAAGGTTCCAAAATATTTTTGCAGGTTTCTAAAGGTCACATGGAAATTATAAAAGCCCTGCATGCATCACTGCAACCCAGGGCTCCAACAACACTAACAACAAACACCCTCGTTGCAGTGTGCCCATGCTTTTTACTTGTAAGCACAAATGCTTCACATGGAGCCCCCCCCCATATTTAAAAGGCGAGCTTGCATTGCCTAATGTATAGACTTTGCAGTCTTTCTTGTCATTACACCAATATCCTCAAAAGTATTTAGACAACGCTAAAATCAATATGAACAAAGAGTCTAAATATGCAATCCCACGCAACTAGTAGACTCTTCCACTTACTTAGGGAAATCTGCTTACTTATAGATTTTTAAGTTTAGACTTACCACCTGATCAAATTTAATATCTAAAAGTGAAAAGAATTTGATACATTTTGCTTGGAATAAACACAATAGAATGGCTCTTTGTTATAGTGGCAAATACATGACACAAAAGTCTTTCCAAGGCAGATTATGTTAAAGCTTCTGGTAACTCTCCAACAGATTGTTATTCCTTTGAATTATACAAAATTAATATTGAGACACAAAGTCAAATCTTGTATGCCCTTTTTCAAAATAAAAAATGAAAAGAAAACTGCCTTTGAAGTCAAGAGAGTTGACTCTCTGCTCTAAAACCAATTTAATACAAAGGTGGTCAGTTCGGTTCAGCTGCCTAACTCCTGACTTAATTATATCAGCATGATGAAAACCTGGCCTCACAGGACCCCTGATTTTGTAAACGTCTTTGGGGTTGAACACACAAAATTTGCACTATTTGTCATGTATCACTTTAAGCTAATACAGTTGCAAATTATTATGGAAGTCATGACATATTAGACTATTTATTTAAAATGCTCCCTATTTTGAAAACAAATCCAAACCCTCTTCTGCTCTTGAGAGGCATTCTCAACTACCCTGTCAAAATAAATGTCTCATTTAACCATCTCTCTCCAGTCCTCTAAACTGTCAGATCACTAATGACACAGCCTAGATCACTTCTATTGATGCACAGTACAAACACTGTATGATACTATAGGGCAGTGTAATATAATCACTAACCACCAGAATATAAACATATTTTGTACAGCTACAATGCTCTTCTCTATTCAGTATGTTAATAATACACTTTAATATTGCATAATAAATTGTGATAATACATGCAATTGTAGGTATCGAACCATTTTTTCATTGGAAAAGTTCCGTAATTCTCTAACAAAAGAGAATACAAAGTAAATTTAAATAAATAAAATGCTATTCAAGAAAAAAGAAATACATTCATTCATATACAAGTAGTATTCTGACTTACACCATTCTTATGCAGAAACTCTAACATTAATTACATGCAGTAATTACTACCAACTAATATCAAGCACTTCTTCTGTATTATCAATAATTAAGTACCTTTATAAAATCACCTTTTAAAAATCAGTCTTGGTTACAAAGATTAAAAGAGAATAAAAACAGTTGTACAAAATACAACTGTATCAATTTAATTAAAAAAGAAACCAAAACAAAACACATGATGCTAATAGATTACTGACATATTTGCCAAAAGTGAAAGTAATTGAACAACAAAGGAAATGAAGACAGGAAACCAGGGAAGTTTTTAAGGTGCCTAATGCATCACCCTAAAAAGGCAAAGGACTACCTCTGAGAAAGAGTGAGCAGCTATCAAATACCACAAGAAAAGTAAGTCACAAGCACTGTGCTGACGAATAGCTTGGTTCAGAGTTGCCAGTCTGAAAAGATATGAATGCAGTACTAGTGCACCACACTGTTCTTCATCTGAGAATTAATTATCACTGGCCTGGGTTTTTTTTAAGCTTAGAAGACGTTTTGTCATCACACTCCAACCTGTTTGCTTTGTTTCCATGAACTACAGGTATTAACTGGAGGCTTTGTGCCAGTGTTTCTGAATATGGATGGCAGACATGCAATTTGAATTCTCTTTCCTTTCTACTTATTATTCATCATTAAGATAATTTTGCAATGGCACTTCCCTATCACAGAATCACAGAGCACTTTGTCTATGTGAGTTGTGAAGAACTCCAAGGATGGATATTCCATAGCTTCCCTAAGCAGTTTGTTCCAGGGCTTAACCACCCTCACTGTGAAGGTTTTTTTCTCCTTATATTCATATATTCCTGTATTAATTTTCTCCTCATATTTTGTTTGCACTTATTCTCTCCTGGCCTTTTGCTGCATATGTCTGCAAAAAGCTTACTTCTGTCTTCTCAGTAACTTTCAATTAATTAAGCAAGAATTAATAATAACAGAACTGCCCTTACTCTCCCCTTCTCAAGACTGAGGAATCTCAGCTCCATCAGTGATTCCTAGATGTCCTTCAGCCTCCAAAGCCTTCTGGTGTCTCTCCACTGCACTCAGTCTAGTCTGACAGTCTTTCTATTGTGAGCCCAAAACTGTACACAGTATTTTAGATATGGCCTCATAAAGTATTAAATAGAAGGATATAATCACTCCCCTAATCTCTAATTCTTTGCTGTTATTAACAACAGTAGTTACAGTTCTAATCTCTGTGATGAATGTGGTTATTGGCTATCGTAATCACAGTATGATTATTTCACACTGTGAAATATGGGGGATAATACTAAGTCATAATTTGAGGATGACTGGCGCAAAATGATCTGTCAGTGCTACTGAAGTTAGTTGAGCAAAAAATTTTTCATTTTATCCTATCTTCTTCCTCTTTCTAAAAATTCAACATCTGTGAGGGAAATGAAGCAGACTTTCATCAGGCTGTAGCCTGAATCACTGACAGATTTTTAATTCATTAATATATTCTTTACTTGTCATTATTCCCAAGAGATATAGATGGATTCAGGACTCCCCAGCCTAATTTGAAATTAATTAGCAGTGACAGATACATCAGTAGAACAGAACCATTTTGGAGACGTGCTGGCAGTTGCAGTAATATTCAGCAGCAACAGAAACTGTTCAGAGATCTGCAATCAAAGAGAAATTGCTCCAGAACTGGAGACAGGAGCAAATTACCTTGGGAAGAGATGAGATCTTCTTCAGTAGGTAGTTTGAAAATAGTCTAAATAAGTATCTCTGGGTACACTCTTTCTCCTTCAGTCAAAAGGCTGCCTTAGATGATCCCTGAAGTGCCATCCAGGCCAATACTTTCCTGGTGCCAGAGGAAAAAAAATAATCCCATTATTCATCTGGTAAACATGCACAAGAGAAACATTTTGCCAACCTCTCTTCAAAAGCATTAAAGTACCAACATTTAACTGAAACCTCTTTCAAGATCAGGCTCATAGCATTCAGTAGTCATTGGCTGGGAGCTGGAGCCATACGGTGCACATACTGCTGCAATACCTGGAATACTCATGTGTGCAAGAAAAGGAAGCCCCTGGTATGAACATCGAGTCATAGCTGACCACAGAGTCAGTCTGGTTTGTATCAGTCTTCCTCAAGCCACATATTTCAAGCCATACTTCGTACAACTTTCCTTTCTCAGTGTCCTTTGCTTTGCTTATTTGAAACAGATGCCAGTCACAACCCACACCCTCAAATGAATCAGAGCCTGTACGCAGGCTGGGAAAACAAATGTTTTCAGCTGCTAGGATCCAGAAAATTTTATCAATTTACAGGATAGTATTAGGGACAGCAAATAAACATTATTGATCAAATTTTCCTAGAACAGACATGAAAAAGGGCTGTCAGAGAGGCAAAAGCAGTAATAATGCTACTTTGGATGTGTATCACATTTTTCATCCCATATTCTAATTTCCTCTACTTCATAGACAGACAGACTGAGGATAAGAATCACAATTCGAAGTATATACCATGCAGTAGAAGGTTGCTAACATAACTGACATGTTTGGTGCCAAAACCTAATAAACTATTTCCACAGGCACAAAAATGACACCCCTAGAAAACAAGTCAGACCTTAGATAGACTAACTTGTCCTCTGGAGGTGTTTTTTAACTCTCAAATAGATAACTAGCCAAGTGCCAAAATGAGCAAGAATGCTCCAAGGCAAAGATTTGTACAAAGTGTTCCTCTGCTTTCCTGATTCCCACAATTCCCACTATATCCCTTTGAAAACAAAAGTCCACAGCTAATTTGCAACAAATCAAAATTCTGAAAAAAATGAATAGGTGAAATACCAAATTCTAAGGCAGATGAACCCTTCCTTCAGGCCTTGTACTCAGGCTTTCTTCTCCCAGACAATTTCAAACATGGTTTCAATTACACTTATAACACAAAATACATATAAGACACTGAAAGTTGCTGATAAGCCTTAGTGATCTAATGGGTGAGCAACAGTTTTAAAAGCTATATAGCGAAGAAATGTATTTCTATAATTAAGGTCTAGTAGGCATGTAATCATTTTACCACTTAGGGACAGCTTTACCTCCTGTGGTTTTGTTTGTTTGTTTTTTAACAGAAAGTTATTTGATGCATTCTGTTGATTTTCTAAAGAGCTTCACCAAAACAGGAAAACATTATGTCCTTCATGGCCCCACAAAGGCTGCAACAAAACAAACAATCCAAACAAAAAAGCAAATTATATTGGCAAAAAATGGGATCCAAAAACGTGAAGCCCAAAAACGTGTAAGACTACTCCTGCCCCATCAGAAAGCAAATGCTAAGGCTTGTAGAGAAGGAACCATGTTACATGGTGGCATGACTCATAAAAACAGAAGAATAAATTTACTATGATTTTCAGGCATGGTCTACTTGGAATGCTGTTAGGATCTGGTTTGCTCTGCTGGAGTATGGACTGGTCCAGGCATGCAATAGTTAGATAAAAAGAAAGAAAAAAAAAGATTATACCAAAAAATAAACCCCAAAGAATGCAAGAACCACTCTGGATTTTATATATATATATATATACACACATATATATATATTTCTTTTTTTTTTCCTCATTAGCTCTGATGGGTTTGAGATTAAATGACTGATTGCAGCTGTTTAAAAGAAAGCAGGAGCCACACTTTCTCAGTATGATCCTAGATTTAAAGGTCCGGGCTTACATGTCTGAGAAAGTCAACACCTTCTCGACGCAGTAGGCACAGGAAAGTTTAAACTCACCTGGCAGGATAGGCATCCACATCCCACGACGTACCTCACCTAAGTAATTGCTGCTCAGGTCAAATTAGCAGCTTTTATGGTGTAGTTAAGCAGTGACATTTTGAAAGCAGAGAAGGTTAGCAGGTCATAGAACGCCTTAAATCCACCTCAGTACCAGCGCTGCCGGGACGGTGTGTCGGGAGGATGAGGAACTCCCTGCCCGCAGCCCTTCCGCACCCGCCGTGCCGAGGGATGCCTGTAAGAACGCGAGTTAAAGGACACGCAAAGGGTGAAAAAAGCTCAACAGGTACCAGAAAGACTAAAAGTCAAAGTGAAAACTCCACGGAGAGTTTCAAAACATGTGCCGCCGTGGGGAAAGCGGTTTTCTGAAGTGGAACAGGCTGTGCTCCACTCAGCAAGAGAGCCGGGGTACTCCTCGGGAGGAGAGGTGAAGGAAGGCGGCAATTACTGAGGGAATGGGGTCTGCCGCGATTGGGGGGAGTCGACACCACTCACCTGCAGCCGCCGAGCTGCAGCCTCCAGAAAGGCGGACAGGCAGGTCCTCCCCCGACGGCCAGCGGGACAAGTCAGCCCCCCCGACCAGTGCCGGGAAGAGCTGCGGAGTGGCCGTCCCTCGCTGGGTAGGGCCGCACCTCCTCCGACCTCGCGGGGGCCGGGTGAGCAGCGTCCCGGGAATTTTCCCCTCTCTCCGGGAAGCGCGGCCGGCTCCCTTGGCAGTACTCCCAGGGGCGGGCCGCCAGCCTCCTGCCGTCCGCGCCGCAGCTCCTCCCGCCGTCTGCCCCCTCCTCGGCAGAGCCGGCACCCGCGGAAGAGGGTCAGGCGGCGGGACGAGGCCGTGGGGCATGGGGTCAGCGGCCACAAGGGCCGGCCCTGGGGTGGGCAGGCACGGAGAGGAGGACAAGCAGGGTTAGCCTGAGAGGAGAGTGAGGAGCAGGGAACTTTGCTTACAAGGCCACTTTCCCGACCTTCCCAGTCCCGAGCTGGTCAGGAGCTGCATATAGGAATGTACCACCAGCCTTGCTGCTCGGTGGAAAAGAGCCTGGGGGTGCTGATCGACGGCGCTTAACATGATCCAGTTTGTGCCCAGGCAGCCAGAAGGCCTGTTTCAAGCCAGTGTCAGCGATAACGCCCCTCCTTGCCCCCCCCCCCCCTCATATTGGGCACTGCTGAGGTTGCACCTTGAGTCACATGTTCAGTTGTTCAGTTCTGGGATCCTCACTACAGGAGAGGATTTGTGCTGGAGCAGGTCCAGAAAAGGGAAACAAAGGTGGCTCAGGGGGGATCTTACTGATTTCTACAGCTACCTGAAAAAGGATGGAGAGAAGAGATGGCTTGTCTTTTCTCCCAAGAAGCAAGTTTTAAGGACAAGAGGTAACAGGCTGAAGCTTCACCAGGGGAGTTCTAGATTGGATATGACTGAAAGGGGTGATCAGGTATTGGAACAGGCTTCCTTGGAAGTGGTGGAATCACTGTCCCTGAAACTGTTCAAAAAACATGTAGAGGAGATCCTCTGTGACATGGTTTAGTGGTCTTGGCAGTCCTGGGGTGATGGTTGGACTTGATGTTCTCAAAGGCCTTTTCCAACCTACTTGATTCTAGGTCTCCAAGATGCCTGTGCCTCTGGTACCATGGCCCTGGGGCTCCTGTGTCTCTTTGGCTGACCTTAGGGAGAGGGACAGTCACTCTGGCCACCAAGGTTGATTGGGTGAGGAGTCGGCCTGGTTCTTGCAGCAAGGCTTACAGACAAGGCCATAACCTGTGTGGTACCTCACCACTGCCTCGCATGCAGCTGCCTGACAAAATCCCATTCAGAAAACACATTAAGGAGGGTTACGGCTTGCCACTCGCAGAGTCATAGGACCATAAGGCAGGACAGGAGAAGAGGAGTTGACCACACCTTTAGCCATGCCCTTGGGCTGTGGGTCCCATCCGACAGGCCTCCGCAGCACATTCAGAGAGGTACAGTGTGCCTCAAGCTCCTTGCTTCCATCAGAAGAGGTACCTGTAAGAAAGTTTTGTTTAAACTTTTTACTTGCCCTTTTCAGGTTGTGCATGGTGAAAGTTTCTCCAGTCTGTAGCACTTTTGCATAAAAGAGGTCTTCTGTCTTACTTTTTCTAAGCTATGTTTATAGGTTAAGCATAATGTACTTATTAAAACACTGTTTTCCTTGCTTTCCATTGGACTCTCTCAAATTCTGAAAGCTTTGTTGCTTTTCATTGGAAGGATGGATGTGGACTGGGAAGCGTTCCAACTTACAGGCTGTATTACTTTTTATGCTTCCTGCTATATAGCTTGCCTTTTTTTTTTTTTTTTCTTGGTGACAGCATAGTTGCTGACTTACAGTTTGCTTGTGATC